ACTACATAGAGTTTTTTTCTTAAAAATTACACAATTGTTCCAGTTTGCACCTCGATTTGCTTTGCTAAATCAATTTTTTGAGACTCGCTCTTTCAGAAGTTTTTATATTGTAGATGTTAGGAACTAGGTTCTCTTGCGTATTTCCGGAGATTTTCAGATTATAACTAATAGAGCTGCTCCTAATTTGTTCTTAGATCGTAAAAATACACCTTTATATTCTCATTTTGTACATATATTTTTGAATGCTTTAACTAGCACCAATTCTTTCTCTTTTGGATATTTTTGAGAAAATTTCCGTCATAAATTAAGAAAAAAAAGCAAGTTAATAACTATTTTGCAAGAAAAGTGATAGTTATTGATCCCAAAATGTGTATTTTTGCTTAAATAGTTTACGATAGCAACTGAACAAGGGAACCTTGAGGAAGATATTAACATTTTTTATTGTAACAATCATACGGTATCAGTTCTAATTTCATCTCTGCCAACAAATTGTTTGTTCAATTTATACTATTTTCCTCCTAAATTCTCCAGTTTTGACTAAATTTTCTAGTAAAGTGTGTTCAATAGCGAAAACATGAATTAAAACGAAAAGCAAGAATAACTTTAAAACATGGAAAAACTCTACGGAAAATCTTGAAAGTTATGTTGCAGAAGCAACAGAGAGATAATCAGCAGTTATGAAGAAGTTTTTGTTGAATTTGAGCCAATATCGAATAAATTTTTAAGAAACATTTATCCCATTTTAAACAATTTTAGCAATAAACTGTTCATTTTTTATCAATAATCTGAAATTTCTAATTTTTAACTGAAAAAATTTCTCACAAGTTGTAATTTTTGTACAACTTTGGGTAATTCAATGAGAAAAAAATGAGGAGAAGTTGAATCATGGAGTTTGATTTAGAAATTTCAGATAATATTGCCCTTAATGTTCATTTGAATTGAGATTCCTAAAAATAATCCCTGAACTGGACAAAAACAAACAGTTAAAAACCAAAATAAAAGGTTCAAAATGAAAAATTTCATGTAAATTTGATTAGTTTTCATTTTACCTTCTCGAAAATTACGACTAATTTCACTGTTTTCCGGAAGTTTCAATATTGATTCTGCTACTATGAATCTTCTTTTCAGTGTTTAGAGCATTATATAACCAAATATTTAGCTCAAATTAAGGTAAACTTCATTGTATTTCAATATTTTGAGAAAAAATTGTGGAAAAAGTCATTTTTTTATTCAAAATTTTGTATCATTGTCTCAACATAATGCCAACTAAAATACAGTCTTAGCTAATTTTTAAAATCTATACGTAAAAGTATGTTTAAAATTAGATCAAAAGCAACATACAATAGCCAAAGTTATGAGATTTCTGCAATTTTTTCCAAATAATTGAAATTTTTGCAATTTTTTCCAAATACTTGAAATTTTTGCAATTTTTTCCAAATACTTGAAATTTTTGCAATTTTTTCACAAAAAAAATTTGAATTTTTTTGAAACTTCAGTAGTTTTCAGCATTTTTTCAAGTAGATAAAAATGAGATTATCTTATAAATTAGGTTAAATAATAGCTAATCTTATCGTGTTTTGAATTTTTTTCGAAAAAATTTTCAATTTTTTTGATAAAAATTCCAAATTTTTGCACAAAAACTCTTACCATTGACTTACCATGCAACAAAAAACTAAAAATATAACCTTAATTCTACAATCTACTCGTAATTAAAAATTAATTGTTCCCAATTAGATAAGGCGCCCCCAAAAATTTTGCGAAAAAAATAAACATTTCCACACAAAAACCAAAAAAAAATACGTTTTTTGTATCATTATCTTACCATCACACAAACCATAAAACCTTACCATCGGTATTCCCGATCTTAATAACTTGTAGACTCTATACCCAATCTTAATACATAGCATGGAAGACCGGAAGTCTATAACGTATCTTAATACATGGTGTCTTCCATGCACCCCCCCCCCCCTGATCAGCCTCAACATCTACTACGCAAGAGGAAAAGTCTAATAACTCTTAGTTAACCAACATCTTTATCGCAAATTGAAGTGGTTCGGCAAATTGAACTCGGAATCTTCAAGTTGCAAGCGGAAGCCACTTGCAATTGAACATTTGTTCATCATTTGCGGAATCCACTTAATTTTGCAAAATCCATTTTTATTTGTGGAATACAGAACAACTAGCTAGACTCGCTATTTGCGGAATGCGGAACAAAACTAATGTGCCGACATCTTACAGTGACCTACAGACACCAAATTATGCACCTGTCGATCTCTGAATTATTTTCTTTTTAGTTTTTATTTGTTCATTTTTAGTTCGTTCAATATTTTCAACTTTAAATGCAAGTTTGATCTTATTACCTTTTTAACTAAGTTTTTCTTCTGAATTTTTTGAATTCAAAGTTTTTGAAAACATCATAACAACTCTAACGATTTAATATTGATCATGAACATTTCAATTTTTCTCAAACTCGTGATTTAAGAAAAGTTTCAGTTTTACAAAATGATAATTTTTGGTGCCATTTTGAGTGGCCTCAATATCATAATAAAACTGGTTAAAAAAATGAACACCTTATTGTTCTGACTTTCGATACGAAAGTAACGGAATATTTGGGCTCGGGGTGGGTTTTTTTTTCTTCAGACAAATTTCGACTTTTTAACTAGCCATTTTTGACGGAACTTTTTTATACCCTTCGAAAGGTATTGTTGTCCTGAGCTCAAATTTGAAAAGATATTTAACCTGTGATCATTTTTTGTAAAGTTATGGGGGTTTAAAGATTGCCATTTTGGCCAATTTGGGACAATTAACGCGGGATGTATTTCGCGCTATTAACGCGGAAGCGGAGAGTTAATCCGCTTTAGAAATCGTTCCAAATTGGTTGAAAGAAGCTTATTTGCCATAATTGATTTGTTACAAGGAGCGAAATATATTGTTTTGTACTTTATATGGCGTGTGGGGGATAATTCTTATTAAAAAACTCAAACTTTAGAAATTTTTTTTCTTTTTGTTTTATTTCATTAAACTTTTTATGTTATTACTGCTCCATAAAACCTTAAAAGGCAGTCGGAACATTCAGGGCTTCGCCCTGATACAAGCAGTCTTGTTTGTTCTTTGAAAACAGTTCATAAAAGCAAAACAGTGAATTTCAGTTTAAGGTACAATGGTTCAATTTATACGTAGACAATTATATTAATGATAATTAAAACTCATCGTGGGAAAAAACTAAATGATTTTATACTTTTCCTTGAAAGTTTATCATACTCTATCACAGTAATTACCTTTCAATAAATAAGGATATAGATTTTTTCAAATTGTATTTCTATGTTTCTGTAAATTATTACGTCATCTGAGGGTATACTCTGCTGAATGTTATTCCAAATTGTTACTATATCTTTTGAAAATAGATCTTTTCATATGGTGACTATAATATCTTTCAACAAAGAAAAATTTTTGGTACTTGGGTTTGTTTCATTTTCATAAATTGATTTTTCCATAAACTGGCAGTATTTTGTTCCTTTTTCATAAATTGATCTTTCCATAAGCTGGCAGTATTTTGTTCCTAATTTTCCAAAACTGCCAAATTAAAACATTATTTGTCGTACATAAACCACCCGTGTAAAACATGTAAACGATACGTAATTTCGGCTAACTTATATTGTAACTGGTTCAAAATTTGGCTGACTTTATACCACCATGTTTTTATATGCCACTTGAATGGTTTAACTAAAATGAAACAAGACTGCTCGTATCAGGGCGAAGCCCTGAATGTTCCGACTGTCTTTTAAGGTTTATGGAGCAGCAGTAATAACATAAAAAATTAATTGAAATAAAATAAAATGAAAACTTTTTTTCTAAAATTTGAAATTTTTTATGAAAATCATCCCCCCACACGCCATATAAAGTGCAACAAGACTGCTCGTACCAGGGCGAAGCCCTGAATGTTCCGACTGCCTTTTAAGGTTTTATGGAGCAGTAATAACATCAAAAAATTAAATGTATCAAATCAAATGAAAATTTTTTCTTTCTAAAATTTGAAATTTTCTATGAAAATCATCCCCCCACACGCCATATTAAGTAAAAAAGGACAGATTTCGCTCCTTGTAACAAATCAATTATGGCAAATAAGCTTCTTTCAACCAATTTGGAACGATTTCTAAGGCGGATTAACTCTCCGCTTACGCGTTAATAGCGCGAAATATATCCCGCGTTAATTGTCCCAAATTGGCCAAAATGGCAATCTTTAAACCCCCATAACTTTACAAAAAATAATCACAGGTGAAATATCGTTTCAAGTTTGAGCTCAAGACAAAAATACCTTCCGAAGGGTATAAAAAGATTCCGTCAAAAATGCCTGGTAAAAAGTCGAAATTTGTCTGAAGAAAAAAAAACCCACTCCGAGCACAAATATTCCGTTACTTTCGTATCGAAAGTCGGAACAAAAAGATAGATTTCGTTCCTTGTAACAAATCAATTATGGCAAATAAGCTTCGTTCAACCAATTTGGAACGATTTTAAGACGGATTAATTCTCCGCTTACGCGTTAATAGCACGAAATATATTGCGCGTTAATTGTCCCAAATTGGCCAAAACAGCAAACTTTAAACCCCCATAACTTTACGAAAAAAGATCACAGGTAAAAAAAATTTTCAAATTTGAGCTCAGGACAACAATAGCTTTCGAATGATATAAAAAGAGTCCGTCAAAAATGGCTAGTTAAAAAGTCGAAATTTGTCTGAAGAAAAAAAAACTCACCCAGAGCACAAATATTCAGTTACTTTCGTATCGAAAGTCGGAACAAAAAGATAGATTTCGTTCCTTGTAACAAATCAATTATGGCAAATAAGCTTCGTTCAACAATTTGGAACGATTTTTAAAAAATTCCGTCAAAAATGGCTGGTTAAAAAGTCGAAATTTTTTCTGAAGAAAAAAAAACCCACCCCGAGCACAAATATTCCGTTACTTTCGTATCGAAAGTCGGAACAATAATTACTTTATCTCACCGAAATTGTCGCGCGAGAAAGAGAAGAAATTGACGCGGTTGTAAGTCAGGAGCATGATGGAGGTGAAATGGCGGGATTCCCGGTCGACCGCGCCCACGTCCCAATTCCAGTTTGCCCGATTGAACCGATAGTGAAAACCCAATAGGCAGAAAGTCTTCCTAAAACATAATTTTTGTTTTAAAAAAAATGTGTTTCCCATTCCACCCAAAGTCTCAAATATCAAACAAAAAAAAACGAAAAATAACTGGAATTCTATTGATAAAAACGATGGAATCTGTTTGGTTCAAAACAGCCAAGCGCTCTAAACAAACTTTTTAAGGCATCCAGTTTAGTACTTGTAAGGACTTTTGAGCAAAATAAGTATAAAAAAAACATCTGCAAGGTTGACTGAGAGCTGTTTGAAACGTGAATTAATTATGCGTGGCGAGTTCGCCGGGATATCACAATTGTTCCAAATTAAAATGGGGCAAGCCAACTTCGTTGATGTTTTATTTTGTCAAAAACTTGTGGTTTTTTAGTTTTGAGTTTACCAAAAATTTTTTTATTCCAACGAAAGGGCTGTCTGAACATTCAGTGCTCTGCCCTGAATTACGAGCACTCTTGTTTTCTTCGGTGAATATACAACCAACTGTTCATTATAGGCTTATAACAAACAAATTATTAACACTTCGACTCAGCAGACAAAATTTTTTCATGTTTTCAAAAATCTTAGTACTTAAATTTGCCAAGGATCAAAATATCATCAATGTGTTTGGCACGTGGCGATAATAATGCAACAATTTTATCTTGAAACTTTAAGAGTCGCCTGTTGAAATTTTTGAACAGCTTCAATTGTTAAAAGAGTATATTGTTTACTATGACCCCATGACATAATTTAGTGTGCTTATGCATAAACAACTAAATGTGTTTTCTAAATCGGATCTTGTTGATTATTCCCAATTGCGGCTCTTTTTCAGTTCCCCCCTTGTTAAATTACAAAACAGAGATGCTCAAAAATTGCTCAGACGGCGATTTGCATGTTAGAAATATTGTGACAATTTGTTCACCTGTTCACGCTGACACGTTTTAATGCAGTTCATTGTAAAAAAGACTTTCATAAATGAATTTCAGAAAAAACGAAAGGGGGAAACTGGAAAAGAGCCCCTTTTGCGATTTTCAGAATCTGAACTTTGGCGGCCACATTTTCAATAGCTTGAAACAATTTTCAGAATATAAATATAATTAAAAGTTTTTTACGTATGTTTTATATAAATAATGAGTAATATAAATACGAATGCGCTCAATTAATTGTTGACACTTTTGAAATAATTATTTTATACAAAAATGATTGTCAAAAAAACGCATGGATGAGGACGGAAATACTTAACAAGGTCCGAAAGGGGGGAGTTAACAAGCCCGCACCGAGTGCCCATTGATCAGAATCTTAAATGGACTATAACTCTAAAATTTTTCATGTCAAAATAATCCATTATACTCGATTTTGATCCATTAAAAATGAATTATTATCATAATTTTTTATGCCAAAATAATCCATTATAATTATTATTATCGATTAAATGGATTTTTTTTGAGAATTTAATCATGAAAGTTACTTATCTTATATCGAGAATCTTATTTCCTATTTTCTTCAGTGATTATACAACCAACTGTTCATTATAGGATTGTAACAAACAAATTATTAACACTTCGACTCTAAAGCAGACAATATTTTTTACTAGATCCCAGTTAATCCAACAAAATAAATTACTGAAGATGTTACCAAATTAAATCAAGAGAAAAGCTCATTTAGGGTTTTTTGAACGATTATTGAATTTTTTTTTCATATTTTCAAAAGTCTTAGTACTTAAATTTACCAAGGTTCAAAATATCATCAATGTGATCGACACGTGTCGATAATAAAGCAACAATTCTATTTTCAACTTTTAAAATTCGCCTATTGAAAATTTTTAACAGCTTCATTTGTTAAAAGTTTGACTATGACCCCATGACATATGTACTATAATTTAGCATGCTTATGCATAAACAACTAATGTGTTTTCTAAGTCGGATCTTGTTGATTATTCCCTATTGCGATCTTCAGAATCTCAACTTTGGCGGCCACATTTTCAATAGTTTAAAAATTTTTACGTAGGTTTTATATAAATAGTGAGTTGTACAAATACAATTAATTGTTGACACTTCTGAAAGTATATTTTATACAGAAATGATAGTCAAAAATAATATTCTCATAGGAAGGGGAACACTTAACAAGTTCGAAAAGGGGGGGGGGGAGTTAACAAGGCCCGCACCGAGCGCCCATTGATCATATTCCTAAGTGGATTACAATCTTAATATTTTTTGTGTCAATATAATCTATTAAAATCGATTATAATCCATTAGAATTGGATTATAATCATACAATTTTTATGCCAAAATAATTCATTATAAATATTATAGTCGATTATAATGTATTTTTTTTGAGAAGTCAATCATGAAAATTTCAACTTTTTTCAAAGTTATCTCATTTCCTGTTCAGTGCAGTTGCTACGTATTACATTGGTAGAATTTGGTGGAGAGGTTTAATGATTGACAACCCCAGCTTATTGCCCCTCTTTAATTAGGGGGAGGTAAAAAACTTAAGGGAGAGAATTTGAGACATGGCATTTACTGAAGAACATGGCATTTATTTTGCAAATTTCCTGCAAAATTTGCAAGATTTCTGCAAAAATAATCGAATTTAGTTCTAAAAGTAAAACAGATTATAATCAATTATAATGTGGATTATAATGGATTTTTTCAAAAATAATCGATTTCAGTGCCAAAAATAATGGATTTTAATCGATTATAATGGATTATAATATATTATTATTTTTTTTAAATAATCGATTATAATGGCGATATAATCAATTTCGTGTTCTCAATTTTACATCTGTAATGGATCATATTGGATTATTTTTGTCTCGGAAATCCATTATAACCGATTAGAATCCATGGGCTCTCGGTGCGGGAATCCCCTAAATCCTCCTTAACTTAGTCCGGGTTATTGTTTTCCACAAATATGAGCAGCGAAAAGCACGGTTGCCGATGGTTTTAGTAAATACTTTGTGTAAAGCCACTGAAAATAATCCCGTTCTTTTTTCGTGTCACCCAAATAAAATGAATTGATTTTTTAAATTGTTTTTTTTTCAGACATTTTTTGGTTAGCTATTACATGCTGTCAGGGGCGGATTTAGGGGGGCGGGGGTGGACGCCTTCCCCCCCCCCCCCCTCTCAGGGATTCGACCCCTGCCGACCCAAAGGGTCCCCCCTTTGTTACTTTTTAAGAAATCCATTTTTTGCAGACCGACCCTAAAGTTTTTCTAAAGGCGCCTTTGGCGCCAGTTTATACTAACTTTGAGGGAGAGCGCGCGCCAAAAAAAAACGCGATTTTTTTTGTCAAAATTTTTCAAAAAGTGCCTAAAAACGGCTTTTTTGACCTGTTTTTTCAAATATCCTAGATCCGTCCCTGCATACTGTTAACAATCGCCATCCCTATGTTTCTTTCCGGGGAGCATTTATTAGTATGTTTGTCGATTATCGTGCCGAAGTGAGCAAATTTAGTGCGAAGACTATTTCAAGTTTTGATTACTCAATTTTTATCTCAGCCAATTTCTAATTAGGCGAATGTGAAACTTGAGTTTCCCTAATAAATCAAGTAGTTTTCGAAATTATTTGAAAATTTAGGCTACATTGTTTGTCGTCAAAGCAATTGTGGCATGCTAATAAGGACACATGCTAATCGCTACACCCCCAGAATTGCTACCCCTTTAATTAAAAGCAGTGCGTTAACCTTAAAGCATTGTATTTAAAATCGATTTTTGCTGCAATAATCTGTTTGGTCAAAAATTTGACCAACTAAGTCTTCTTAACAGACCCCTCTTTACTACTTCGTTTCGCAGAATACTTCGATTCGCAGTGAAATATTATGATCAATGGAATTGAAATTTTTTAGGCTATGCAAGCATGAAGCTTCAGAATTTTTTTAAGTCAACGTTTTTTTGCATCATCTCAGTTGCTATTACTATGACATTTAAACACAATTGTGTTTTTTATTGAGTTCTTCTCAAAACAGATCAGCGCAGCCAAAAAAAAACACCATAATTTGGTCATTTGTTGTCAAAACACCACAACTGAGATTATTGAACAGATTATTGTTGCTTCAAGTAAAAATTTGCAGTTAAGAAACTAAAAACAAACCAAGTTTCAGCCGATAAATTCGAAACCAAAACTGCGCACTTAGAGATACAGGTACTTTTTTTTCGAATGCTGTAGATCAAATTAACCTGAGTTCAGGCAAGTTTATATGACTCGATGACGCGATGACTCACCCATGGTTAAGACAGTTGCTTCCACTAGTAGATGAGTAGTTGGGAATAATGAACTCCAATGATTGCCACGCAGATACACACACAAAGCAAGCTAAAAAGCAGAAAAACGAGTTTCAATGACATCCTTTTTTAAACAAGAGCAAATCAACTCTTTTTAAAAATTATTTGTCGGAAAAGGGAGCAAATGAGCCCGCAATAGTTAAATTAAGTGTTAAATTAATTTAATAAAAATTGAAGTTTCTTTGATTCACAGACGATCTATGAAACGCTATCAGGCCTTTCTAAGCATAGTTCGGTTGTAATTATTTCCCCACATTCCAGACTGAGTTATCTTGTTGAGCGAAGCTTTTTTTAAAACTATGGGCGTTTTATTGCGTCTTGAACTTTTTTGTGGTCTTTACAAGTTACCCGGGCTGACCTCCATAGACCAAAAATGCTAATCATACAATTCCATAAACTAAGTCTATGAAAAAATACTAGTCATACAAATTTCATACATTTTGCTAAAATGGTGTCATTGAATTTTCGAACAACTTTTTTCTTGTTTTGGCATAAAATTAGGTGTATCGTACTAAATAAAAAACAAATTTTTTTTTTGTCAAAAAAACGCGTATCATACAATTTCCATATATGGAATGTGTATGACTAGCATTTTTTTGATTGCGACAAAAATTTTTGAAATTGCCCCAAAAATTTTTTTTGTGTTTTTTTTCAACTGCAAATTGACTTTCGTACTCAAACAAACTTTTTTTGAAAAAAAAATTGCATGCAAAATTTAATTTTTTGTGTGTATAACGTAGTCCTGGATATACTAATATTGGATTTTTTTCCTTTTATTTTCGTAACTTTTGTCATAAACGCTTAAAACTCCTCTTCCTTTTGTATGACATGTTTTTGTATGCCTTGATCAATTTCTGGTTATTTAAAAATTCAAAATTTAGAAATAATCATGTTTGAAAAATTTTGCCAAAATTTAAAAGTTTGTTACTTTCGTTAGATTATTTGTGTGAGACACAATTAAAACATTTCAGGCTGTTTCCAATGCATTTTTAATGCGCGATGGCCAAACCTTTGGTTACTACGTTTGTGTAACCAATGTTTATGTCATTTGTGTTCGGTTACGAACACAACCAAAAAATTTTGAGAAATTAAAATGTAAAAAATCATTATTTTTGGTTTATGGAAAAATGCTAGTCATACAATTTCCATATATGAAAAAATACTAATCATAGACCTTTCATGCAATTTTCTGTACTTATGGACTTGTATGAAAAGTGTATGATTAGCATTTTTCCATATAGGAAAATTGTATGACTAACATTTTCGGCCAACCCGGGTAAGTGAATTCTAACAAAATGTTGGTAAATTATCCTATTTCATTGAAAAAGGGAACGTTAATGTGGTCGATTTTTTTTTTACAAATTTGAGGGCCAGTTCGCAGGACTAATCTAGTGAAAATTGAGCTCATTATTCTCATCTTACTTTGAATTGAGCGCATCTGCTCCCTTCTCTCTAAAAATTGGGCTCAATCAATTCGCCTCAAGGGAAAAAGGGTTAACGTGGGAATCAATTTCAACCGTGTTGATAGAATTTTGAAATTTCTGAGAATCTTGCTAATTGCAGAAATTATTATCATTAAACTGAGTGAAATCAACCTAAAAAAGTGCTTTGTGTTTTTTATAATGAAAAACATACAAACAAATTTGCAAAAGTACGCGCAGAGCAGGATAGATTGTTAGATTCTTTAAGCGGATTTTTCCAAAAAAAGTCAAGCCAAACTGATAAAAAAAATTAAATAATTATAACAAGCGTGTTATTAAGTTTCCCTCTTTTCTATTATTTGCGGAACAAGGCAGGTGCTGATCTAGGATTTTCTCAAAAGGGATAATTTTTGATAAGCTTTCGAAATCTTGCCAACTTTTTTCAGTTTGACGAAATAAATTGGTTTTCCGAGTCCTGCCAAAACATTATAAAAACACCAGTTTACTCAAAAACTGTGCCACACTTTTTGGAAGATTTCGACCAAAAACTTGGGTTTTTTCGGTGGGGTCTTACGGAATTTTGGCGCCTAATGCGTGTTTAGAAAAAAATTTAGGGTTGGCTCAATCAAAATTTGATGGCGTAAAACTGGACCACATAACGGGGACCTTTTGGGTTTTTAAGGGGTCCAGTCCCTGAAATAAAAGAGGCATGTCCCCCCCCCCCCCACCCTTCTACCAATCCGCAAAGTTATAAACATTTTAACGGCACATTTCCATCCTTTAACCCCTGAACCCACCCCCACCCCGCCTTTGAAAAAATTGTAAGTCACCTTTACCTAAACTGATGTAATGAAGAGCAAATAAGAAGAGCAAGAAATTCCGCATTGCTGACAAAATATAAATCAAATCAATTATGTCTCAAAGGTCAACGTTAACTGTTTGTTTTTAAAACAACACTAAACATAAAGTCATAAATGTAGTTTCAATCTTGTAGTTTAAATAGCATTCAGTTCTAACTGCGATCAAAGCTTTTAAATACTAAAACGAACTTCATCTCAAAGAGCGCTCGTACATCATCGAATGCTGTGTACCTTGATGAATGTTTTCAATCCGACCCGAAGTCAAATACGTTTTTCAAAAAAATTTTGATACAGTCTTTTTAGACACAAATTGAGTTTCAGACAAAAATCTGGTAGAATAATCACGTGGTCTATTTGGGGGTCTATCTGTTAATTTTTCAAAAATTACCATTTTTGAAAATTGCTGAATTTAACACTAACACTTTAAAACACTCAAGGTTTCCAAGTTGTGCAGCAAAAAAAAGTGAATGCCAGGCGATAAAAAGGTGGCTCTACAAGGTGAAAACATTAGTTATTTGTTTATAAAAAAAAATGTGAATCCGAGCACAGTGGCAGTTTTTTGCATTAAAATTATTCTACTATCTTTTTTTTTTAATTTTTACTATAAGAATTGTGCCCTTATGCTGACACCTACAACAAATTTCAACTTTGAAAATTTTTTGTTCGAATGAAATTCAGTTGGATACAGAGTTTTGTTTGCTTTTTGTACTCTCAATTTCTAATGAAAAATTTCAGTTGCAAAAAAACTTTTGATTTCCAGAAGTTGTATTTTTCTGCTATCACAAATTTTTTTGCTGAATTAAATTTATGATATCATGGAAGAAGCTCTCGTCATAGTCCTACTATATAACAAGAAAACTAGTCTGCACATTTTTTTTGTATTTTTTTAGCGAAGAAAAAACTGTCCTAACATTCAAAACATTTTTCACAGCACATTTATAAAATTAATAAATTTTTCTTCAATATAAAGATTTTTTTAAATCAGACATTTTGCAGTTACTATGATAACTATTATAACTTTTTATGGTTACTATGGTTTTGATTATGATTTTGCTTATGATTAATATGATTCTGAGTTTAACTATGATTATTTTGATTATTATGATTATAAGATTATAATTATTACTACTACAATTATGATGAATGTGATCATCATTATTGATATGTTTGTTTCTGATGCTTCGAATACTGTCAAGATTATCACTTTGTTTCTAACTTTCGTAGAAAAAGACTTAAAATTTGTGGGTGATTTTTTCTCTAGAAAAAACTTTGATTTTCCCACAAACTTTTGACCTTCCACCTCAAACTTAAAATGAGACTCTAAATGCGATCAAAGCTTTTAAATACTAAAACGAACTTCATCTCAAAGAGCGCTCGTACATCATCGAATGCTGTGTACCTTGATGAATGTTTTCAATCCGACCCGAAGTCAAATACGTTTTTCAAAAAAATTTTGATACAGTCTTTTTAGACACAAATTGAGTTTCAGACAAAAATCTGGTAGAATAATCACGTGGTCTATTTGGGGGTCTATCTGTTAATTTTTCAAAAATTACCATTTTTGAAAATTGCTGAATTTAACACTAACACTTTAAAACACTCAAGGTTTCCAAGTTGTGCAGCAAAAAAAAGTGAATGCCAGGCGATAAAAAGGTGGCTCTACAAGGTGAAAACATTAGTTATTTGTTTATAAAAAAAAATGTGAATCCGAGCACAGTGGCATTTTTTTGCATTAAAATTATTCTACTATCTTTTTTTTTTAATTTTTACTATAAGAATTGTGCCCTTATGCTGACACCTACAACAAATTTCAACTTTGAAAATTTTTCTGTTCGAATGAAATTCAGTTGGATACAGAGTTTTGTTTGCTTTTTGTACTCTCAATTTCTAATGAAAAATTTCAGTTGCAAAAAAACTTTTGATTTCCAGAAGTTGTATTTTTCTGCTATCACAAATTTTTTTGCTGAATTAAATTTATGATATCATGGAAGAAGCTCTCGTCATAGTCCTACTATATAACAAGAAAACTAGTCTGCACATTTTTTTGTATTTTTTTAGCGAAGAAAAAACTGTCCTAACATTCAAAACATTTTTCACAGCACATTTATAAAATTAATAAATTTTTCTTCAATATAAAGATTTTTTTTTAAATCAGACATTTTGCAGTTACTATGATAACTATTATAACTTTTTATGGTTACTATGGTTTTGATTATGATTTTGCTTAGGATTAATATGATTCTGAGTTTAACTATGATTATTTTGATTATTATAGTTATAAGATTATAATTATTACTACTACAATTATGATGACTGTGATCATCATTATTGATATGTTTGTTTCTGATGCTTCGAATACTGTCAAGATTATCACTTTGTTTCTAACTACTTTCGTAGAAAAAGACTTAAAATTTGTGGGTGATTTTTTCTCTAGAAAAAACTTTGATTTTCCCACAAACTTTTGATCTTCCACCTCAAACTTAAAATGAGACTCTATCTGTGATGATTTTTTTCTGGGCAATTTTTGAAGGGAAAAAACTAATTTTGTCAACTTGGGGTCATTAGCGTGCGGTACATTTTGCGCTATTTAATTTAAAAGTATCTGCAAAAATTGATTTATTTTTTATTGCTTTTTTATGAGATAGCTTAGATAAAAAAATTTGACAAAATTCGAGACGAAAAAACTACTTTTTGTAAATTATTAAAAAAGATTTTTTGAGAAATAATCAACAGTTTTATTATGATTAAGTTATTTCTAGTTATATACGTCTTTTCAAAGTTTGCACAATTATTGAAGGTGGATTCTAATGGAAAAGATAAGAGTAACAAACCTTCATTTTCGTTTTAAATAATTGTATTCAAAATCAGCTGCCTTTACTATAAGCAAAATTTTTGTATCTGAAAGCTAGTTTTGAAAACACGCTTTTGTTTTCATAGTTTGCCAAAAAAGTAGTCATAGAATACGTAGTCTTTCTTTTTTTTTATTTTCACAGGCTAGAAAACTTTTTTTTGCGCTCGAAAATTCAATCTAACCTAAAAATGCCATTTTGGAAGCTTCAGATGTATTACTAGTTTGCTGTTTTTACTTAAGGTTCGGAATTTTGTTTAATATATACCATAGAAGGGAGATTCTCATTTCCAATCCGCTTTCAATTTTTTCAAATTTTATCATTTACGACAATACATGTTCACAAGTAGAGGCTTCGCAATCTTTTATTTAATCGAGAGCCGCTAAACTATTCTGATAATAATTAAAAAGTTGTAAAGAATATATCATTTTAAAGAATATATTGATGCACATAATTATAAAAGCTTTAGAGTAAAAATTGAAAAAAAAGCAACTGACATAAAAGCAATGAAAAAATTCAAAATAGAAATTAAGACCGATTTGAACAAGTAGTTTTGTTGAAATTTTCTATATTTTTATATATTATATCCTAAAGCCAAATATGTCACGAAAAGTGCGGAAATTGAAATTTCAACTAAGGAAGCAAATTTGAAATTCTTTTTATATCTTGATTCGGTTTCTGTGCTCCAATTCTTTGCTTGCCACCCATGGTGTGAATCATCGTCATGTAGTTTTTTTTTAAATTTCTGACAAACCCATTTAATTACTGAGACGAATCATCAATTTCCAATCGAAACGTTTTTCAACCCAGAGGTTCTGCTTTGCCCATATTTAAGTAAATAAGTTTCTGACAGTTATGATTCATTCATGGATTGCTATTTAGACGTCCCTTTCCTCAGTGCTTTAACGGGCGCCAAAAATTCCAAGATATGCAAAACAAGAATCAGTTCTGACTGGTTTTACAAGTATTTTGAAAAAAAAAGTAACAACTTTCTTAGCTTGTTATTTTTTTACATAAATTGCTCCTGACGCTGACAAATTTGTTAGACTGGAAAACAAAGAAGTACAAAATAGCAATCAACTGCTATTTTTGTATGAATTTCAACTAGTTGAGTTTCAAGAATTCTGATATGGAAGGAATGTACTCAAAGTTTTGTGAATACGGAAGCTTTTTTTATTCTCTTTGTCTCTCTCTCTCTCTCTCTCCCTCCTCTCTCTCTGTCTCTCTCTCTCTCTCTCTCTCTCTCTCTCTCTTCTCTCTCTCTCTCTCTCTCTCTCTCTCTTTCTCTCTCTTTCTCTCTTCTCGCATGTCCCTATCTTTATCTCTCGCTCTCTCTCTCTCTCTCTCTCTCTCTCCTCCTCTCTCTCTCTCTCTCTTCTCCCTCCTCTCCTCTGTCTCTCTCTCTCTCTCTCTCTCTCTCTCTCTCTCTCTTTCTCTCCTCTTTCTCTCTTCTCTCTCTCTCTCTCTCTCTCTTCTCTCTCTCTCTCTCTTTTGGCCCGAACACCGATATTGCCGATATTGGCCGAACACCGAATTTTTCCAGACCGAAAAAAAAAACTCATTATTTCGGTCTGATGGTCGAAGAATCATACTGAATCAGACCGATATTGGCCGAACACCGAATTTTTCCAGACCGAAAAAAAAAACTCATTATTTCGGTCTGATAGTCGAAGAATCATACTGAATTTTAGTCTGATGGTCGAACTAAGGTCGAACCAGGGTCGAATCAGGGTTTTGATAGGGTTTGAGTCATGCTCGAACTAAGGTCGAATCAGGGTCGAATCCAACCCGATCTAGTGTCGAATTAGGGAGCAAAAACGGGCAAACGCCGACAAGCCAGCTTGAAATTGCTAAAACATTCACAGCAGCACAATTCTGCAATGCATAGAATAATCTGAAAAAAAACATCAACATTTGTAAGCCAAAGATATCAGATGAGAAACTCTAGACTTCTTTTTGGCCTCACAAAAGAAACAATACTAAATAAACAATAAGCTCGCTAACGGTTCCATCCGAGTACTCCCCTTTGCGGATTTTATTACAGCCGGCGATGGTTTCATAGACACCCTTTCGTTCTATAATCAGCCTAACCATGGGTCGCACACTTTCAATAGACTCCACCTAGCACAATGTTCGTTGAATTCGATAATTTTCTTTCTTCTCCCGATAACGTTGACGATCAATTCCACTAGCAGTCTTTCACATGTTTTACCAATTCTTCAAATTGGTAAAACATGTGAAAGAACAACTGCATCAAAGTTTACCAATTCTTAGAACTTTCAAAAAGTGTTCCAAATAGAACCAGTTAATTTAAAAAATTGCTCAAATCTTTCAATTGGTGAAAAAAAATATGTTCGAAAATCAAATTGCTAAGCTTGCAAGTGTCACGGGTTTGGACTATCCTACCAAGTAACAAGTGAACTTGACTTCAACATTGGCCAACGTATGCAACCATATGTGAAATATGCGGCTTTCCAGTAGAAGAAAAGCTCTTCAGTATTTTTGCTTGACAGTCAGACCAACATTACAACAAGTAAATGTTCACTGATTTTTTGGCCTCTCTCAAATTTCGTTGGTGTATAGTAATGCTTGTCTTGAGGACTGAAACCTCACCAAATGCTCCAACCTTGTTAACAAAAACTTGATAGATGACACAATAAAAACTAGATATGCGAGATCGAATCATTCAAAAACGCAAAGCCTATTGCCAATAATGATTGGTCTACAATTGAAAATGTAGCAATTTTTTCGCAACTACTTCCTCGTCTGATGAAACCTTCAGTATGCCTTTACCAAAGCCGCTATCCAAGATTTAAAAACACAGAAGAAATTCGGACCGCACCTTTTGACTGTTAAGTTTCGGAGAAATGACCTCTCACTTTATAGAGAAGTCATTTCCCACTTTTTGGTTCAAAATAAGAATATGATTGGATATCGCACGATGTCACGCCATATCGCGCGATGTCATATCACGAGATCAGATCTCAACAGGCGGTTAACTTTCCATATATATATAGAAGTTGATTTACTACTCTTTTATCGCTCTCTAATTAAACTGTTGATTATACCTAGTTTTGCTGCCAGCCTGTGAAATTGACGATGTGTGAAAACGGTCATTAGAGATCGAGCCAACTCTCTTCTCCCGCAAAAAATACAACCGTAAGTTCAAAGTATAATGACCATGATTTGCCAGGATGGATCTAAGAGGATTCAGTTCTGCTAAATTTGAGACATCTTAGAGCTATGAAACCAAAGATCAACAAGACTGCTCGTATCAGGGTGAAGCCCTGAACGTTCCGACTGCCTTTTAAGGTCTACGGAGCAAAATAACTTGAAACAATTGGATGTAATAAAATAATGAAAGAAATATATATATTCTTTGAGATTTTTTTTTTGAAAATGATCCCTCCACACGCCATATAAAATATACAGGGATAGATTTTGCTCCTAATAACAAATCAATTATGGCAAATAAGTTTCCATCAACCAATTTGGAACGATTTCTAAGACGGATTAAATCTCCGCTTACGCGTTAATAGCGCGAAATATATCGCGCGTTAATTGTCCAAAATTGTCCAAAATGCCAATCTTTGAACCCCCATAACTTTACGAAAAATGATCACAGGTGAAACATTTTTTTCAAATTTAAGCTCATGACAACAATACCTTTTGACTGATACAAAAAAACCGTCAAAAATGGTTAGTTAAGAAGTCGAAATTTGTCTGAAGAAAAAAAAATCCACCCGAGCACAAATATTCCCTTACTTTCGTTACGAAAGTCGGAACAACAAGAAATTAGACAGTACAATGTGCGCACTTCACTTGGTGTAGTCATATTCCATCAAAAGCCTCGCAGCAGTTTTTCACTCGATAGCTATTTCCTCAGCCAACAGAAATTCTGTTGCCGATCGATAATGAGAACATCCAAGCTACAACATTCCAATATAAGATTTACAGAAAAAACAATTTTGTCAGCTTAGGGGAATTGTGCTGAAATCATCAAAAAAAATAGTTTTAGCAAGAAAAAATTATACCCTATTGAAGATAGTGACTCGCTGAATCTAAATTTACAAAAAAAAAACATTTTACCCCCGATCGTTTTTCGCAAAGTTCTGGGAGTTTGAAAAATGCCAAATTTGCCATGCTCTTAGAAGATTTTAATCATAATGCTGAAAGCGTAACACAAATTATTCATGCGTGGCAAAATATCCCGCAGAACAGAATCGTTTCAAATTGAGTTGAGGCTACCTTATTGGTTGTAATAATTTCGTACGACTATTTTTTTTTGCACTTGGTCTATGATACTGTCCAAACTTGTTAACTGGGCGTTTTTGACGGTATTTTCCAAAAAACCATATGAAAGACACTGTTGTTTTAAGCTCAAATTTAGAAGGAAATTGTGATTATTTTTTGTTAAGTTATCGGGGTTGTTAAGCTAACTTGGCTAACTTTGGATAATTAACGGCGATATATTGCGTTCTTATAAGACGTTCCAAATTAATACGTTCCAAATTGAATTAAGAGCAGCAATTTAATCCTATTATTACCATATGAGAGGCTAAACGTGTCTTTAGTATCTTACATAGCGTGTGGACGGATAAAACGAAGAGCAAATAAATCAAAACTTTTTTTCTCAATTTTTGTGTCAATTATCTAAATGAAAAACTTTTTAGTTAGCTTTAAAAGCAATCGGAACTTTCCGGGCTTCGCCCTAATATACGAGAAGTCTAATATACAAGCTTTTCTGTAGCATTTCATCTTTTGAGTTACATACGATAAAATCTACAATTAGCTCACCCACTACAATGATAATTCAGATTAAATTCAACGTTTGCTGCCAGAGCATCTCCCAGTAATTGCGAACCTCATTGTGAGTTTATCATTGACTCCAACACAAAAAAGTGAGAGAGAGTGTTTTGTATCTTAACAACGACAAAAACTTCACTGTATAAATATGCTTTCATCATCAACTAAGTTAGCGAATGAATACGCTTGCCAGCAGCCAAAACTGTACTAAAAAAAATACAAAAATTTTATTTGAACATAAAATACAAAAAAAATTTGATGAAAATTTCTAAAACTTTATTTTTTTATATTTTTTCGAACAAAAATCATTCCCCACACACGCTATGTTAGGTTCCAAAATACATTTAGCAATTAGCTCAAATAGCATGCTTCAAGATCATTTTGAACGATTTCAAAACAGAATTAATATCTATTTAGGCGTTATTTGCACAAAATATATCACGCGTTGATTATCCCAAATTGGCCAAATTGGCATCTCTAAACCCCCATAAATTTACGAAAAATATTCAAATTTAAAATTGAGCTCAACACGACAATAGTTTTTGGCTGATATAAAAAATTCACCTCAAAAATGCTAGTTAAAACAACAAAAAATGTCTAGAAAAAAACCACCCCGAGCACAAATCATCCGTCACTTTCTCCGAAAGTCCGAACTACATTATGAAAAGACTAAATTCAAATTACCGAAAACCAAAAAAATATCTTCATAAACAAAAAATTGAAATCGAAAAGTACTGTTTCGCAAACGCAATATAGAAAAGTAATTGATAACTCTTACGTCACCGTACTTTCTTTGTTTAAGCATGGAATTCTTACAATGTTTTGGGAGACCTGCGAAAAATCATTTTTCGTTGATATAAAAAGTCGGAAAGTTTTTCGGAAATTTCAGTCCAGAAAATAATAAAACATCCTCTTGATAACTATTCTACGTTCTTGATATCCTTTACAAATCGGTGGTGGGGTTCGACCGCAATTCAACATCGGCGGAAACTATTCAAAAGATATTTTTATTTATTTTTGAGAAAAAAATACATTCGCCTTTTCTACGGTTGATTTTGATTGGGTTTCAGAGTGCAGGTTCCAAGGTAGTGTTTGCCCAATCCTACTCACCTATGTTTATGCGTTTGACTGTAATGATACGCGGAACATCAAGTGTTCATTCAGATCAAATTTATTTGATCGAGCCTGAGATTTCCCGATTTTTTTCTACAACGTAAAAAAGCGTGTCATTCTTTATAATTGGTCTTAATATTCAATAGAAAAACTTTGACCGAAATTTTTTCAAAATGATTTTATATTTTATTGAAAATTTGAATTGAGATTTGTAGAAACTTTTTCTTCTCACAATTATTTAAATATTTCTGCAGCACAATGATAACGCCAAACGTTGTGTCGGTTTATACGAATCAGAAGCATTTTGTGTTGTTTCTGTTTGGCTCCCAGTCTCGTATGCGACCCAGGCTAATCGTTTGATTTACTGGATTATCAACTTCCCATAACTTTCTGTATCCGAAGAAGTTAATATCTTGACATAACCACGGTTGATCTCTGCATATGTAGTGGCTTTTGAACCACTGAAATGTGATCAGATTCTGCTGAAGTTGTTGGAGAGAAACTAGTCGATGGCAAATTGATACAATAATTGAAACGCACAATTCTTGATTTTCACTAATAAACTTTCCCCCCCCCTCTCCCCCCCCCCCTTCCCCCGCATTTAAACTTTTCTATTTCTATTGTTTTAATGTTTTAATGGTTTTGATGTTATTATGGTGAAATTCGCGATGTTAAGGTGAAAAGTATGAAAATCAAATCTGTTCACAATGGTTAGTTTGTTCATCATGCCAAATTTCATTTTACTGTGTTAATGTTAAAACAGTTTTTGAAAAATGAAATTGAATTGAAGGGAGGGGGAATGGAAAAAAAGAGCCATTTTTTTTTTAAATCGACGCACTTTTTTGAGGGCTATGTGCTGCAAAGGCGCCCCTTGAAGAAGTGTTTGGTCAAGAAATTTGGTCAAAATCGGCGCAAGAACGTTGGTCAAAATCGGTTCTTTTTTCAAAATCCCCCCCCTCTCAAGAAAATCCTAGATCCGCCCCTGAGCTAAATGGATTCGGGTTTTCAAGAAGTTTTCTTGAAAGTTCGACCGGCGCACTGCGCAAATAATTTGAAACACCTTCGGATCAGAGTTTCTTAAATTATTTTTGATCAGTGTTTTCAAAATCGAAAAATTGGAACAAATCCTAATTAACCCCCCCCCCCCCCCACCCCGTTGTAAAACTAAAATTTGCACTTTCATCATGATTTTGTATATGGCATTTGTTGATTGTTTTTTTTCGCTTATTTACTCGAGTTATTGCTTATGTGTCATAGTTTTTGTATCAAGTTGACCTGTCAGCCTTTGCCGTCCGTATTTGTATGGAAGTGCGAAGTCAAAATGGTCCGAAAAGCTGCCTCCGAATCTCAGATCTCCCTCGCCAAATCCAACCTGTATGATGACATTCATGCACAGTCCTTCCTCAAATTTAGCCTGCAATAGAAACATGAAAATTGAGGTTAATCAAAGAACAAAAACCGGATGAACTTCCTTTCGCTTTCATTTTGCGGAATTAATAAAAATCATGTCATGCCGCACATGCACTATATGTATATACGCTGCATTCCATTTTGCAGTTATTGCAGTGGTGTCAAGTCCACCCACCAGTTGTGTTTAGCTATTTCCAATACGGTGCTACTTAAAATCATCTGTCTGCATATCGGCTTACGAATCAGACATAACTCATTTGCTGTCTTGTTTCTAGCAACCTATTCAAGATTTATCCCATTCAAAAACACATATCTATTAGGTTATATAATTAACTTAACAGTCTAAAACTTTCTCGGTACATCTAATCGTTGTACTATATTATTTATATTTCATTTACATTTTCGCAATTTACCGAGTTTTGTCAGTCCTAGAATTCGGTAAATGTCATGGCGCAGCCAGCAGGATTCAAACCTGTGCGTGAAAATTACATCTGATTTTCAAAAAGCTCCTTGACAGAGCACGATGACGTCATTCAGAAAGTACTTTCTCTTTTGGACGACGAAGGTTTTGCGCTGAAACTTTGGAAATGCGAGTTTGCAGTGAATAAACTTGTGCGGTTGGATTTTGACATTCACTCTAAAAACTATTCTCAAAGATGAACGTTATAAAAAGTCTGACCGCTCCCAGGACTCTAAAACAACCCTGCTCCTTCAGGTGTACGCTAAACGATCTCCAAAAACTTATACCAAACCTTCATAATCTTACGTGCGAATTTCGAGAATTTCTTAATCTCTGTAATAAGAAAAAATTCATCTGGAACGCTACTCAGGATGCTGCATTCAAAAAGATTTTGGATTTCATCGCCGAAATCACCGACTTTTATCATTATGACCCTGCAAAAAACACAATGATTGAGTGCGACGCCAGTCACCATGGATTAGGTGCATGTCTTGAGCAAGAAACAGATAAAGGTTTGTGGGCTCCTTTTTCTGTTTAACCAACCCGAGTTTTGCAGATAATGCAGTGGTGTCAAGGCCACCCACCAGGTGTGTGTAGCTATTTCCAATACAGTGCTACTTAAAATCATCTGTCTGCATGTCGGCTTCCGAATCAGACATACCTCTTTTGCTGTCTTATTTCTAGCAATCTATTCAGGATTTGTCCCATTCATAAACACATATCTATTATGTTATATAATTAACTCATCGTTCTAAAACATTCTCGGTACATCAATTTGTTGTACTATATTTTTTATGTTTAATTTACAGTTTCGCTATTTACCGAGCTTTGTCAGTCCTGGAGTTTGGTAAATGTCAAATCATTTCGAGACTGCTCGTATCAGGTTCCGCGCTGAATGTTCCGATAGCCTTTTAAGGTCTATTGTATTGAGCAGTAATAAAAAAAAAGAAAATAAATGTAATAAAATAAAAAAATATATATCATCCATTTCACACGCCATGTAATTTGATGGAGCAAATACTAGTAGCAAATCCGTTACAGCAAATAAACTTCCTTCAACCAATTTGGAACGATTTCTACAACGGATTAAATCTCCACTTACCCGTTAAAATCGCGAAATATATCACGCGTTAATTGTCCCAAATTGGCCAAAGTGACAATTTCTAAACCACCATAAGTTTGAGAAAAATGATCAAAGGAACGCAGGAATACAATACTTTTTAATTGATATAAAAAAATTCTGTCAAAAATGACTAGTTGAAAATTCAAAAGTTGTCTATTAGAATAAATTAGCAAAAAAAACAACCCGAGCTCAAATATTCCGTATTTTTCGTTATGAAAGTCGGAACAATGATTTGTTTGCAGTATAGATTCCACTCACTGTAAAATTCACTACACTTACAACAAATGAGATCTCGCGAGAACGCTGTGGAACTTTTCAAACCATTTTCAGGCGACTCTGATCGTGTTATGACTTCTGTTAGTTTTTAATATTGATTTTTATTCGAAAAAAATAATAAGAAAAATGATTTAGCGCAAAAAATTTGAAAAGGAAAACAGGGGAGACGTTTCAGCTGTTTAGGTACACTTAAAGCAAATGTCTAGTTATGATATTGTTATGCAAAATTGAGTATAACCAGCTGATAATTTTTAAGAATGAAGTTGTCCGAGAACTCATGATTGAAGAATTGTATTTGATATTCTGTGCAGGCCTGAATCCAGGGTACAAAGTCTGGGTAGTTTTCTAAGACAAAATTGAACTTCTTCTAACTTTTTAATTTTAACATGATCGAAGTTTTTTTATTACCTTTTAAATGCGCAGGTATCTGCCTACCTGAAACTTTCTTTTTTCTTAAAAAAGCACACCATAACCCTGTGATTAGATCTAAAAGAGTCTAGAGGGTGTTTTTTTTATCCAAACCTATTTGATTTTAACGAAAAAATTATTTATCATCTGAAAAGCGCTGTACAGTGATATGAACAGTTAGCACGCGAGCACGCGATTTGTTTCAAGCTATTGAAGCATAAGCGGCAACTAAAATTGTTCTGAATTGAACTCAAAATAGTGACTTCTTTTTTGAAAAAAACTTCAAAGCAAAATCAAAATAATTTATGATTGAAACTTCCTCCAATTTTCAAATATTTAAATTCCGATGAAGTTGTTTGACGAAATATTCTGGCTCAATGCGTGATGTTACGATGTAAGTTATGAAGGTTAAATTTGTTCTTAAAATATTCATTTTGTTCCCTTGTTAAATTTCATTGCATTGTGATAACGTTAAAAAAATGTGGTGGTTAAGTGAAAAAGAGTCAAAATTTTTGGATAAAAACAACGCAACGTAAAAAAACAGGATCAACAAAATAATTTTTTTATTCTGCCAGGAAATCTAAAAATAAACACCCAGTTTAGAAATTAGAAACCGTGCAAGTCTTTAAAGACTTTTTTTCAATTTTGTTGTTTGGTACTGGAAATGAGTTGAACAAATGAAAAACACTGATCATGAAAAGAAAGCGAAAATAAACTGATCATGAAAAGAAAGCGAATTTGAGGGTAATAAAAGTTAAGGACTTTTACTGAAAAACACAAACAAAAAACATTACCAAAATCTATACAAGAGACTTCACAACTTTCATCAACTTCTAAAACAAGAAAAATCAAAATTTTAATATTTTTTGGTTTTTTTCCTGACACATTTGAATTTTAGTTTTGAAAAACTGATTTTATGTTGTCATAATGCAAGGAAACTTGGCATAATGAACAAGTCAACAAGTTTGAACAGATTTGTACTTCATATACTTCATATTAACGTTATGCGTTTATCCCTTATAACATGTCGAAAGATATCGAAATAGAAAATTCGACAAGTTGGGGAGTAGAAAAAAGCCTCATTTTGTAATGAAATTTTTCATGGTGAACAAACTAACTACTGAGAACACTTTTTTTCGTGCCATACATTGTAGCATCACGTATTCAGTCATAACAACAAGCAAGGACAACCGAGAAAACTTGAAATTTGGAGGGAGGGGATTGGAAAAGAGGCGTTTTTTCAAATGTTTTATCAAATTTTGCGGATTTTTTTTGAACTAAGGGTTTTGCCTGATACGAGTAGTTTTGTTGTGCTGAATAATGTTACTTAATTCGAAGAATATTTATGCTGAATTGTTCGTAATACGTCAGTTTAAATTGACGAATTGGGGGGGGGGGGTGGTGCTACCAGGCTGGGGTACTATAATGAGAAAGACCCCAATTTTTATAAATTTGCAGCTGCGGTTTTTTTTCATGTGGTCCACTTGTTATAAAACGTGGCATGCGAGATAACTACTTAAAATCAAACTTTTGGGCTCTTTTCCTACCTATCTGCAAATTTTTACAAGTTAACTTGTTGATCACATTGTCCGATTGTTATGTAAATTGACCATGACAAATTAGGCCATGACAAACATATTTGGTCTGCCTTACCAACCTCGTACAAAAACTCATTAATTCAAAAAATTGATGCTTGTGTGAGGTGGCGGAAAAGTAAAAAGAGCGCACTTTTGTTTCCAAAAAACAGCCTGTGAATTCAATCATAAAACATCATTGTGCATAAGTCATTAAGACAATTGGAATAAATCTTAGAAAATGCAATTATCTAAAGAATGCAAAAATTACCGACTCGTACCCAGTTTACCATTACGCTTGTAAAATTGCAATTTAAGGATATTTATAATCATAATAATAAAAAATTGTTTCCAAACGATATCTAGTTATAAAGTTATTTATAAAAATTTAGGCTTTTTTTCCAGTTTCCCCCCTTTCAAATTCAATTTTGAAAAGCTTAATTAACGTTGTCATAATGCAATGAAATTTGGCGTGGTGAAAAAATTGACAACTGTGAACAGATTTGTTCTTCATATTTTACATCGTAACATCACGCATTTAGCCATAATAACACGTAAAACAAACATAAAACTCGGTGTTTCAAAAGATGGGGACTGGAAAAGAGCCAAATTTTATAAATACAAATTAGAATCGTTTGGGAGAACACCATTAAGCCAACATGGCCCGTTTTCAGGTGTCTCTTAAAGGGAGAACAATAAAAGTAGTTAAATTCTTTGATACAATGCAATGGACCTTCCATCGGTAAAAAAAAAATGTTCACACGGCAATCTGAATGAAGGAAAAGTTGTAAGAGTTTGTTCATTTGTTCACGATGACACATTTTATTTCAGTTTAGAACATCAAAAGTCATTTAAAATCTGAATTCAAAAATCAAACTTTAAAAATCAAAGGGGTGGAACTTGAAAACAGCCAAATTATCGGATTTTTATCTAGGAGATACTTGTCTTTTACTACTTACAGGACAACCTAATGGCCCAGAAACTGAACTGCAACGCCTGAGCGAGTGAAAAGCTTTATGAAAAATTGTTTTAATCAAACAAAAAGTGAGCTCTTTTCCAGTTTCCCCCCTTTCAAATTCAATTTTGAAAAGCTTATTTAACGTTGCTATAATGCAATGAAATTTGGCGTGGTGAAAAAATTGACAACTGTGATCAGATTTGTTCTTCATACTTTGCAGCTTAACATTACGCATTTAGTCGTGATAACACGTAAAAAAACATAAGACTCGGTATTTTGAAAGGGGGGAAACTGGAAAAGCGCCAAAAAGTGTAGGGTTTTTATGGCTTTTTAGGTCAAATTTGCCTGAATCTAGTTTATTTGTGCGTGCCTATGGAATTTCAATGCTTTTTCCGGCTCCTTTTCTTCCCCCCATTTCACACGAGCATCAATTTTTTGATTTAACTAGTGGTTTTGCATGAAAACTAAGACCAAATATATTTGCCATGACAGGTTGAGTCAGCACGCTGACTTTTGTAACAATTGGACGATGTCAACAGAAAAAATTTGACCGCTCTTTTCCAGTCCCCCCCTTTCAAATTCAATTTTGAAAAGCTTAATTAAAGTTGTCATAATGCAATGAAAATTGGCGTGGTGAACAAATCGACAACTGTGAACAGATTTGTTCTTCATACTTTACATCGTAACATCACGCATTTAGCCATAATAACACGTAAAACACACATAAAACATAGTTTAAAAGGGGGAACTGGAAAAGGGCCAATTTGACATTTTGGGGAGTGGGGGAGCCGAACTCGGAAATAAATAAATCGCGTTTTTCATGAAATAGTTTGTTTGAAATGTTTTTTATTATATTTGGTTCCAATCTGACTGGTTGCTTTAACTTCTGCTCAGTGGCAGAGATTGACTGATTTGCATATTTTGGTGGCACTGAACATGCTCAGGGTGGAGTGGATTTGGTCCATGACAGTCTCAGTTATGGCCCCACACTCCTTTTCCATCACTGTTTCCCCCCTATGGTCCGATTTGCACACCACTTCAATCACTTTGGCCCGAAGTAGCTTGTTCAGGTCTTCAATTGGTGCTTATTTTAGTCTCTTTTCCAGTCCTTTATTCTCAATCCAAAAAAAGCTGGGATAAATTTATAGAAAACTTGGCTCTTTTCCAGTCCCCCCCCCCCCTTTCAAAAAAGCGAGTTTTGTGTTTGTTTTACGTGTTATTACGGCTAAATGCGTGATGTTACGCTGTAAAGTATGAAGAACAAATCTGTTCAGAATTGTGGATTTGTTCACCACGTCAAATTTCATTGCATTATGACAACGTTGAATAGATTTTTCAAAATTGAATTTGAAGGGGGGGGGAACTGGAAAAGAGCCGAAAACTTAAGTAGTTTCATAACTGTTTGCAATGTTTTTTGTATCTCTTTGTAAAAAAATTTTTTTAATAACTTTCTTGTGAACAGAACGTGGTATGAAACTTAAGGCGAGAAATAGTTCAATTAGCCTATTAATTTTGTGAATTATTATATTAACATCCTAGATACCGATAAAAAGTTGGGAAACTTTGTATTAAGAGGGATCGACTGGAAAACAGCCCTAGAATCTCTTTATTTCCGGTAGTCGCGAGCATCGAATTAGAAGCCAGCTCGCAAATTCTGCATTTTTCGACCGTCTCATCTACAGCCGAAAAATGTCCAATGAAGCAAGTGAAAACTAACACAAGCAACACAAAGAGTTTGAAGTATTGCATTTTAAAATATGATTTTGAATGAGGCTGCTGCTGTTTTTTTTTAAATAAGATTGCTGTAGTTTTTTATTTCAAATCAAGTTGCGGCTGTTTTTTGAAGGAAGTTGCGCTTTTTTTAATCACTCGCTTATATACAGAAGTCACAACTTTTGTTAACTATAAGTGATTTTCATCGAGGACTTTAAAAGAATTATTGCCAATTTTCCCGGCAAAAAATGTTTTAAAGGACGAATCTGAGATAGATGGATGATGAGTCATGATTTATGAAAACTTAGCGCTTTTTTTTACTAAAATTTTTTCTTTGTCAATTTTGGTATCATTTGATACCTTTATGACATTTTGACTTTTGAATATCCAAAGACGGCTCGTCCCCCCAACCTGCAAATTTTAGGCACAACGTTCGATTTTTGTGAAAGCTGACGTGCGGATCAAAAAAAATCATGAGAATTGTATTTGATCTTAATAATTAACCTTTAAAACCACTGGTTACACCATGAAAATGATGCTGATGCAAAGTTGGGGGAAAACGAAAAAGCGACTTGGTTGCAAAAATTTATATAAGAGTCTCCACGTCGCTTTAGTAATATTTTACGACAGCCACTTCTCGCAGGCTAACCCTTAAAAATTTCTGAAAGCGTTTGGTGCCTTCATATAACTATTTTGAGGTGGAGTGGAAGAGCATGGAATTTGCGCGAGTGTATTGGTATTTATCAGATCCTTAAAACTTTGTATATAATTTGATTTTTATTTTTGACTATTTGATTATTGAATACCATAAAAAACCTTGTCTTCTAGAAACATCTGCTTGTTTTGAAACATTTGACTCAAAAAATCATCAAATTTTACGTCTATTAAACAATGTTTCTCACAAAAAAAGATGATTTTTCAAATGACTGTTCCTGAAGCACACTAATAATTTTAAAAACTTTTGTCAAAGGTTTAATCGAGAGCAATTTTGTTTCCTTTTATTGTTTTGTGTCATTCTTTTTTCGAACTTTTTAAGGCGTATATAAAAACTTAAACGACAGTATTAGTAGCTAAATTGCTTGATGCTTTTGGCATTTGTTCTCAACCTGAAGCTAATTTTGTCCTATTTTCAAGGCACTGAAACCAACTAACTCGAAGAAATGTACTTTTTTGTATCTGAAACCCATCTAAAAGGTTTCAAAATTGATAAATTTACTTCATTTTCCTTTTAATTCAGCAGATTAACTCAAATTAGTTTGTTTAAATTTTATTAAATTTTCTGGAATCAGTGTCAGCAACAATCAAGGTTCAATTGATATCAATTAAATTTTACGATAATTCCATACAATAAAAACCTCTTTAAGTAAAAACATTTCTCCATTCTGACGAAACTCAAGGCAATAGTTTTTCAGGAAATTTAGACAAAATAATTATGTAGAATAGAACAACTAAAGGCTTTCATCAAGGAAAGCGTCTAAATAATTTGAAAATATCGCAGGAAAAAAAACTTGTGTAGTACCCAACATTTAAGTTTCAGAAAATCTAATATATTTTATAACAAATTTATTTACCAGATTTTTTTGGTAATCATTGTCTGTTTGCAAAATATCAAACTCCCAATAACTTAGCTTAAAATGATAGCAAATTGAAATATATTGCAGATATAATACCATGATATAAATCGAACACTGAAAAACTTTCTGAAATTTTTTTTGTTCCAAGCAGAATTTCGAAAAAAAATATTAAAGTATATTACATAATAATCCTCCAAATTAGGGCAATAATCTAAAAATAGCTCAAAAAAACTGAACAGAAAAGATATGTTTATGGGGAAGATGCAAAAAAATATTGGTGTCAATTATAAAAAATTCTACCAAAATCAGTTAGGGCAATAATTAGGGCAATAATCTAAAAATAGCTCAAAAAAACTGAACAGAAAAGATATGTTTATGGGGAAGATGCAAAAAAATTTTGGTGTCAATTTTAAAAAATTCTCCCTAAATCAGTTCTATTCGGGTGATCGAAATTTAAACACCTTTTTTATTAGAGATCAACGTTTTGTTTGTTTAATCCGTTTAAAGTTTCATCAGCACATCAGTCTGTTTTACTTTATCAATCCTGATCTAAATTATCCGGAAAAATTTTTTAAAAAAAAACACTTAAAAATAAAACGCGTTTTGCTCAAATTAAGTTAAATTTAGACAAAAATTACTAAGACAAAACTTGCTTAGAATTTCAGCAGAACTATGGTATATGTTTGTCAGCAATTGAAATGATAGTTTTGGCGTAATTTTTGATGACTAACAGAAGCCAAAAATGGTTGCTCTAGGGGCAAAACTTTGAAATCGATTTTTGCAAAATCATTTGCACCATAATAGTTCTGCCAAATTTCGAGGCAAATTTTTGCCCTCATCAGTTTTGTCTCAAATTAACTCATTTTAAAAAAAAGTCAGGAAAATTAGTCCATATGGTTTAAGAAAATGAAATCATGAAATTGAGATTGTTGCTATATTTGCATGTAATGCAATTTCTGAGCGCAAAAAAGTGACAAGTTCCAGCTCGACATGTAATGGCTCTGACGAAACACTGATCGCCTCATAGATTTACTGTACCACCCTCATTTGCTTAGCCCCCCTCCCCCCATCCCCCGCATTTGACTAACTTTAATCCAGTTGAGTGGTTTGAGGGGAGTGATAGCAAAATCTGTGAGCTTGTTGTAGTATTCCTGGGCTGTCAGCCCCTTGCTCATTCCCTCATCCACATACTGTTTCACTTGGAACCCACAACAACCACCTGAACAAAACACAAAGCCCCTACAATTATTTACCAGCAAAAGGTACAAGTGAGCGGGCGGTGAAGTGGTTAACTTTCCGTTTCTCGGCCCAAGTGTCTATAGACGGAGACCTACCATGACCCGTAAACTTTTTTGGACGCACCGTTTTTCAATGATTTGATCTGTGCTGTAGGAGAAAAATTCCATAAATGAACTTGGAAAAAATCGTTGGAGTTTTGGAATTTTCTGCCAATCAGAATGGAGTATCTTACCTGCAGCGCTAGTCAATTCAAATCCAAACAAAAGAGCTGAGGCTGATCGAATATTTTTTCGAAAGGGGCAGGTTTTCTAAAAAAAAAATTCTACATTTTTTTCTCAGGCCAGATTAGATTTTGATTTTCTGAGAGAGCTCAAAAAACCAAAAATGGTCGACCTAGAAAACAAAACGAAAAAAAAAATCAAAATCAAAATAAAAAAATTGAACAAATTTGAAATTCAGTTTCAAAAAACTAAATCAGGGTTGTCATAATACGATGAAATTTTTCATACCTTACTAATTGAGTGAGGAGAACGAATTAATTCTTCATCCTTCGTATTGTAATAACACGTATGCAACCCTTGTAATACAAAAAACAAATAAAAAAACAAAAAATTTGAATTGCAGCAGAGAGTGGGGAGTGGAAAAAAGCCCAGTGGAACCAGATCTAAGCTAGTATTTATCATTGGTTATTATTAAGATATTTTATCTCTATAAAATATTAAATACTAACCAATCATACTCCATCAAACTAACAAACTATTTATTTGTAAAGTCTTGAAACTACTTGTAGTTTCAACACCAGAGCAATTTGAATTAATTTTAGAATACAGTTGTTCTCATTCTGGAACTAACTCGCGCAAACCGGTGTACACTAGATCTATTGAGACTAGGAGATATAAGAGGAAGATTCAGATCGGTATTAGAATAAGAAGTTGCACGAATCTATCCGGCCGAAAATAAGATAGCGTGACGAGCAGACGGTGTATCTGAAATTACTCTATGAATATAGTATATCATACATAACTCATCTGCTGCGACATCCTCTCAGATTATTTAGCTTCAACCCCTACATCTGAACAAATCAGAGAAAACCCTTTTGATCCCCCAGACACTACAGAACATCTCCCATTTGGATGACACAAGCTTTCACCCAAGGCAATCAAATTTAGTAAATGATCCAATAGACGTTTCATCTGACACATCTTTGTCACTACCTGAAACTCTTTCACTTCCTTCAACCCCTTCTTTAACTCAAATTTCACAAACACCATTTCCTCCAAATTTTCCTACAAATCTCGACGCCAGATGTAGAGAAAATTCAACAAATAACATACAACTACGATTGGATTGGAATACATTCGTAGCACCCCCTCCAATATTTGGACAAAATCACGAAAGTAACAGACTACACAACTGGACACTGAACAGATAACAATATTGACAAGATATACACAAAGATATTCAAGAACATAATATAGAAATACTTATACAAGACAACTTGACACTAAAATTTGAAATCACAGAAAGACTAAATAATATAATTCATCATCCCTCAACTCTAGCCCTTCCGAATATAACAGCTCACTCTTTACCTCCCCCATTTATAACCACAGAAATAATCTACAAAGACGATAGATACACAAAAAAAACAATTGGACATATCACCTTTTATAATCCATATTCAGGACTATCGTACGCATGTATCTTTTAAAAATACTAATTTTTCAGACTTTTTTTATTTTTTAATCTCTCAAAACCTGATCATAACGGTCCTTCTCCCCGAACAGGACCCCAAGATTTACTAGTCAAACACTGTGACTGTGAAGAAAATGAACAAAAATTATTATACAAATATGCAATAAACCAAGTCACTCAATGCGAATCAGAGCCACAATCAATCGAAACAACAAACATAATAGCAACAATTTACTCAAAAGCACGAGCTAAAGTGCTAACAGTTAAAAATTCACAGCAACATTTTCCGAAAAGAAAGTACATTGTTCCCAAGTTTCAAACGGAAACAAAAACAGATTAGATCAAGAATCTTTCTTCCAAAACATCATCAAAAGACTATTGCACCTCAGCCCTGACGATTGCGAAAACGAACTTGAACGATTAAAAATCACATCAAACAAGGGCAAAAACAGAAAACTAGTAAACTTTCAAGTTTATCCAGACTCAGCACATCAAGCTCCAGACTCAGAACAAAAGTCATATAAGATTAGATAACAAATTTCCATTTCACGGAGCACATGGAAGATTAACCTATGATCTCCATGATAAAAATTGGATACCACCAATGAAAATAAACACTCCCTCAAATTGTGAAGCAGATACAAAATATAGAGGATACCAAAAAATAGTGTTTTTTGATTGGAAAAAACAACTTGTAGAAGTACAACTAACACGTGATTTAAAAGATGACACTATAATTTATCAACGAATCAGACTCCTTTGCAAAAACGAACTAGGAAACTGCAATCCTACTACACGCACACAAGCAACAATTGTTTGGTTCCCCGAAGACACCTGTACCACATTTCAAGTAGCAAAAATACACGCTAGAATGATAAAATTTCACCAAAAATTTTTTATTGAATCAATTCCGTTTGAAGATGTAAACCCTGATCAACTCAGACATTATAATTATAGATTTAGAAACATTCATAATAAAGAAAATAAATTGACAGGTTTCCAAATATACCCAGAAACGGAACTTACATGTAAATACACAAAACCACTTCACAAAACACAATATTAGGAAATTCTTGTCGAATACGAATCGCTTTGGACAAGAACACAGGAAAAATAATTATACACGAAATGGCTGTATCTCGTTCAACCACTGATAAAAACTCATATGTCCCAGTACAATTTCAAAAGAATACAGGAAGAGATGGTGGAAAATTGAAACCTCAAGACAAAGACAGTACACGTTTACAAGAATTATCACTCATGCACAACACTCATTTTGGCGCAATATGCTATGACATACACTTGGACATGAAGTTAGACTACACAATAAGTAGTATCCTTCATGAAATGTCTTTGACAGAACTTGAAACACTTCATCAATTATGCGAAATTGAAAGCACGCAAATTTTACAATCATTTGCACTAGCAGTACTTAAAAACCCTTACGCAGGATATTTATTGTCAGGAAACAGATCTAATTACCCTTACACCAAAAAGAATTATTTTTATAAATTTTTGAAGATAAAAGTTGCTATGAAAGAATTCAAATATTCTACAAAAATAAAGTTTATTTTGTTGATACACTCTCCCGCAGAACTTATTCTTGGGATGCAGCAGTCCCATGTGGATCAAAAAATAGCTACAATGTAGTACAATTAAACCCTGACGAAGAAAAAAACTTATTTTTCACACCATATCCTACGCTCATGCAACCACTCAAAAATTTTTCACCAGAAAGCATTAGAGCTATTGCTCGCAACACCAATATTGATTTACAATCAATCGGCATATACTCTGAATCCGACATCCAATATCACGTTCGAACACGACAATTTCAATAATTACTCACAAAAATGGACACAAAACAACGACAATCCAAAGATCAAAACCTCCGCAAACTTGCAGAAATAGCAGGCTTTTCAGACATATACGCACAAGACTATAGCGGATATTCTAAAGATCTAAAAGATAACATTTACCTAAATGGCGAAAAATACAGACCACAAGATATATCACCGATATTTTTTTACTTTTGTAAATCTGAAAAATGAACTTCTTGACTTTCTAGGATGGCTCTACTACATCTTAGAAAGATTGATTATTTTATACTCAATGTTTAAATTTCTTGGATTTTTTTCTCTCTCCTAAAAAGAATCTACAATACATGCACAATACACACACAAGTAAACAAACAAGCAAGCGTAGCACTCATACTTTTTGCAGAATTTTTTGGAATTTTTTCAACATCGATCAATAAAATTCTTTTAGACGCTCAAACAGAAGAATACAATACCAATTTATTAACCAAACTAAACACGTATGAGGAATCACGAAACGATTCAAATACAACGCCTACAGCACCACAATTGCAAAACCTAAACCATAACCACCCCTATCATTGGTACCGCGAAGTTTCAGAAATATCGCCCTAACAGACCTCATAACTTCGAGATCTAATTATCCACAAAGCCAAGTCCAACACAAAATAACCCAAAAACCCAACATAGACAACACATACGAAAAAAAATTTAGAACAACCACATACCACTAATTTTCGTTCTCAGAGCAACCATCTTTTTAGCCCTCGATGAGCCGCCAAGTTGGATCCTTCTATCGATCAATTTCCCACCCAGCCAACCTTCAGAACAACCTCCCAATCATCCCACTTTTTGCTTTCCCCCCACCTCAATCACTTTATCATAACATTTCCCCCAGCATGGAATCAGATAGTAATTGCAACACAACAGTATATAACACCATCTCCCAATTCAACAACTCCGATATCGAAACACCCGACAAATTTGCCAACTCTGAACCCAGTCCACCTAAGATAGTCCTCAAATATCATCTGAACTTGTTAACTTCATAACACTACAACAACAATTACACACAAATAACACACGAACTTGATAATTTCGTAACATTACAACAACAATTACAACACCCTCAAATTTGCCAACCCTGAACCAATTTGCCAACCCTGAACCCAGTCCATCTACATTTTCCCAACCTGCCTTTCAACCTATCCATTCCCAAGTAAAAATTTAACCCCCTTCCCCTCCCTCTCCCATTTCATATGTTACACCCATATATTCCCCTCTAACCAGTGAACCATCCGATAACAACGACTCAGAAATATCACACGAAATACACACAAATATCAAACGAACTTGATAAACTCATAACATTAAAACACCAAAAACCCGACCTCCACGTCAACCCCATCCTCTAGTACAAACCGCGCTTACCGAACCTTTAAAAGAAAATTCCCAAACACTCCATCCCCATCTAACCCAGGCACATCAACCGCATTTGTCAATCATCCACTTCACACTAATACGAAAGAATTTCTACAAATATGTCTACCCTTTTTCCTACACTACACATACTTCCATTCAGACTCCAACGACGAGAAACCCAATTATGTAAACGAGCAAGTATTATACCCTACACTTTCAAGGACATCTAATTATCACTTTACTAATCCACTATCACTGCCATTATAAAACACCCCTTAAAATAATGAAGTGTGCAGCACCCAACTCCATCTTCTAACAACAGCACTAGCCCCAAGACAATTTATTTACACAAATAGGATACAGACAATCACTCACCAAACTCACTGCACCTAAGGCTAATGATTATTCTATCGATTATAACGATCATAACATCCTACGACCTAACGAAGACATCTTTCTAAACAACGACCCATTTGCTAACCCCCAACTAACTGAAAATTTTTTCATTAAAACACCATACACATTCACCCTCAACATCTTAAATCAAAAATATGACAATGTCATCTCAGCAGCACTGCGTGATATTCATGCTTATGATACAAACTTCAACAAATTTAACCACTTTTCACTAACTTTTCATTTCCTCACACCCAAAGAACGTGATTTGCACTGTTCACACGAAGTCATGTGACGAACTGAATAAACACACACGTACACTTACTACAAGTTCATTCAACACCATTACACTCTCAATACACCAGCACGACAACCTATTGTATTAAAGACACTAACTTACAAGGCACCCTAGGAAAATTAAGATCTCATCACCCAGATATATACCTTCTGTCCCCTAACCAAACTCCTACATGTAGACGAATCCCGCCCACTAATTGTCCCTCATGAATTCCTCTAGCCCTTTGAAGTCCCAATCCTAGAATTTATGTATAACACTCACTATAATCACAAATTATATAATCTTATTCAAAACACACCATATGAACAATCACCCAGCACTGAAGAGCACAACATCATTAAAGCCCTCGAATTGCTTTGGCCACTTCTGCAAACTAAACACACTATTCGTTTGCTAGCTAAACTACCTACCTCATGTGATAACATCCACGATGTTTTTCCCCATGATTTCTTCACCGACGATTAGGTAAAAAGAATTCGATATTTAACTAGTAAATTCAAACAAAACTAACCATTTTTAATCAAGTTTTTCTTTTTTCTTCATAGGCACAATCACCAATCATCTACAAAACAAAAAGCAAAACAAAAAACAGAAACTTTTTCTCAATTCATAAATTTCTATTAACAAATTCAATAAATGAAGCAATAAAATTATCCCATACAAAGCAGTAAATTGATATATAAATTCTTTTCCCAAAGCAAAAAATACTCATACAATTGAAAATAAATTAATAATTTCTACCCCCAAATCAAGCAGTAAATTTCATAATTTTAAAGTAGTAAATTAATAAAAATTGTTCATAAATTGCAGATAGCAGTACTAACCTTTTCAGAGGCGCTTCTTTATATTCATTCGCCCATAAATTCTATCCAAATTTGCACTGCTCGCCCGCAAAAAATTGTTTAAAACAATGAATTCAAGTTTCAACTTTCACTGATAACAACTCTAACAAGCTTTAACATGTTTCAAATTTTCTTTTAACCCGGTTGGAAAGGAATTATATAATAATCCAAAGTAACCAACGCAAGCTTACTAAACACCATAAACCACAACCTAACAGCATGACTAAGAAAAGAAAACCCACATTACCCAAACTGAATTAACACCAGCTTAGAACTAAATAAATTATTCTGTTGAAGACTACTTTTAAATCTGAACACAAAAGAACAAAACACCAAAGTCGAAAGACAAACCCAAAACAAACATTTTGATTTTTGAGAAAAAGACATAACTATGACAACAAAAGAAAACACTAGTAAAAAAGAATAGCATGAAAAGTTGAACTAGAAACAGGACCCTCCAAAAAGAGAGCATGAAATTATACCCTCTTTTCTGGCCTAACCCACCAGAAGAGGACGTCCTGAGCATGCTCTATAGCCGGCCTCACCCACCGTGCTACATCCACGCTTTGTGAAACCCACGACACTATTTTTTACCCAAGTGTGAGTAGCTCTTAAAAATAACAGAACTAAATAGTAACGCTTTTGCAATAAAAACTAATACAAGATCATGACTAAAAAACAAGGCTAACAAAGATTTATATATGTAAATAATACAATGCAAAATATAGATAATATACAGCCCAAAGACGAGCAGCAAGGAATTTGACAACCCAATCACACTCCAACTACGGTATGGAAAACCCACCTGACATGCTGCCTACAATCACTACACTCAATGTATTCAAAGTACGACTTGGCATCGCAGCAAAAGAAATCTATTGCAACTGAACAATGGCCATCTCGATGCTCAAGTATACGTACAGATCAAAGTCACCAACAACTGCAGCCAAAGTTGAACACATGCCGCTTCCAGTCGAGATTGAGAATGGCAATTATCCTATTATCTAAAATCAACCAGATCAACACTCATCACAATCGATCAGAAACCATGATACGATCTCCCGAAACTACCGTGATAACATCTCTTCTTCCAAACCCGAAAAAAGAATATGCTCACAACCTCTAAAGAAAAACACCATCATCCATCCTACACTACAATAGAACATTGAAAAACTAAAACTCTGTAAACCCCGGATAGGTGGAACCAGATCTAAACTAGTATTTATCATTGGTTATTATTATGATATTTTATCTCTATAAAATATTAAATACTAACAAATCATACTCCGTCAAACTAACAATCTATTGATTTGTAAAGTATTGAAACTACTTGTAGTTTCAAAATCAGAGCAATTTGATTTAAACTTAAAATACAGTTGTTCTCATTCTGGAACTAACTCGCGCAAACCGGTGTACACTAGATCTATTAAGACTAGAAGATATAAGAGTAAGATTAAGACCGGTATTAGACTAAGAAGTTGCACGATTCTATCCGGCCGAAAATAAGATAGCGTGACGAGCAGACGGTGTACCCTATCTTAAATTACTCTATGAGTATAGCATATCATACATAACTCACCAGTCTGGCTCCATTTTTCAAAAGTGTAATCGGGCCTTTTCTGTTCTACGGCCAAAAACTGATCTTTTTGATGTTCTCTTGATTGAATCTTAATGCTCGAATCTGATTGTCCAAAAACAATTCCAGCGATTTGAAATCTGGATTTTTTTCAATAAGAACAAGTTCGTACAATAGTTTGGTAATTTTGGGTCGTATAACAAAAGAAAATACTCGTTGGTCTCTAACCGAAGTTGTTGTCGGCGAAATTGAAAAAGTGAAGTCTTTGGTAAATTGGGTTAATCATGATGTTGAATCTCGCAGCCTCCATCCGGGAAATTCTAGCATTAAACGCTCGTCCTCTGCGCGTACGGTAGTGGAAACCCAGGAGACAAAACGATTTTCTGAAACATTTCAAGTTTTTTTTATTTTTCCAGTGACGCATAAGCCATCCAATTAAATATGTTTAGTCAAATAGTTTAGTTTAATTAGTTCTGTTTTTAGTTCGAAAACTGTAATTTTTTTTCGAAAACTGGTCAAACTTTTTACATTTATCCTCTTTTTTTTTACAAAATGGATACCTCAAATTATTGGATCTGCAGAGGTTCGAATCCGCGAGGAGGGGCGTCGGAACACCCCCCACCCCCCTATATCCGCTACTCGCTCGTATCATGGAAAAGCCCCGAACGTTCCGACGCCCCCTCCTCAGGGACGAGTTAATTTTGCTAAATTTTCAAAAAAAAGAAGTGAAAAACAAAAAGTGATATATTTTTTATCTACTAACAATTTATTTCCTCGAATTATTGGGATCGAAAGATTATTGGTCTCTACATTGAAACTTCTGCTACACTATTTATTAGTATTGATAATGTTTTATGGTATGATTGTTTTCTGACAAAATTTTTGCTAGATCATCAGTAAACAGAGAAACTATATTACATAGATAGTTTTAAACAGCATGTCTATAATCTGCAAATAATCGGAAAACAATCTGTTTTTAATCTATATAACCCAAATAAAATTAATTATTTTGCCTAGCACCTATAGGATTGTAAAAATATCTGTTTGTTCAAAAACATTACTAAAAACTTGTACTCAACAACACTCTGTGTCAGAGTCATAATCAGATCATTTCTGGAGGATATTTGTTAACCGTAAGTCATATGGTTCAGGAAGTTCCTTTAAAACTTTGCAATATGAAAGTTTCCACGGTAATAACAAGAACACTCCTGCGAAATGTCTTCAAAACCTATGTTTAAGATGAAACCTTTTAGCACAGCAGTGTAAACAAATTGGTAGAAATGTGTTGAAAGTTTGACTTAAATCAAGTATAAATCACTAAAAAAAAGTTATTATAATAACATATTAACGTTTTTTTTTAGTTTTGTTCAAGTCAAACATTAGCATAAATAAACTAAAAGTAAAGAACAAACTTTACCAGTTTTTGCAAGATTGATCATTTTAGTAAGTCTGCATATAGTATGTATAGTACCCAAAAAAAGTCTCAAAAAAATGTTTTTGTAATCTGTATTCAAGCTGTATATAGTCGTGAATAGAAAAGTAACGTTTTGTGTTTTGACACTAATTATAACTTATAAAAAACATATAAAAATTTTATACAAGCATGTTGCTTTATTATAAAATATCTCAAGGTTATGAATGAAGTATATTTAAAATGATAGAAATGAAAATAATCTGAAATCTGTACGTTTTTCGATATATGATCAAGTGTCATCTATTTTTGTACCTTGTGATACCGTATTTCTAGGAGATTTCTTTCACAATTTGAAAGATATTAAAGTCTTTAGCTTAAAATCTCAAAAACGAGTGCACCTGCTACTGTTTTGTCCTAAAACTATGCGAATTGGGTCGAAAATTGTCAAAAGGGGGAATCTTTGATATTTATGTTGCATATTATATTGCAAATAAGCTAAGCTAATCAGCGAAGTGATATGACTTTAAGCATTGTATCTTTACTAAAAATTCGAAAGTTTCAGATATGAAGCTTCTTGAAGACAAAATTTGTATGAAACCTACTTATTATATTTTAAAAAAAATAATAATAGCTGTAATTTTTCCTATAAGTTTCTGAAAAAAAAACTGACAGAATAGTACAAAAATAATCGTATCAGAGTAAAACATAAATTGTTTGATCCCCCTTTAAAGTGACCAAAGTAGTTTCTTAGAAAAAAATTTATGAAGTTTTTTGTTTGGTCAGCGTTAATCAAATCAGCATTGTGAAATCTCCCATGTCGATTTGAGTCAAAAAATTTTTTTTTTTAATTTCCTACCTAGAAAGTAGAAAGTGACAAATAATGATTTGAAATAACCGTATCTAGTTAGTGTCAAAACATTTGAAATATTGGAAAACTTTATGGATTTTATTTTTATTACATTTCACTGTTACGACATATGAATAACAAGGTATTTTTTCTCCAGGCAAATTTTGACTTTTACCTTGCCATTTTTGGCGAATTTTCTTGTACATTTTAAAAGGCACTGATATTTTGACCTCAAAGTTTTAAAAAAATACTTGTGATTAAATTATCAAAAATTATATTTCCCAAATTAAGGGGGTTTAAAAAATGCCAATTTGGGCTATTCGGAACAAAATAACTTGAGATATATTTTGCTTTTAACACGTAAGCGGCTAATAAATTCGCTCATAAAGTGTTCAAAACTGAAATGAGGCCGAATATATATGGTTTTTTAAGTTTTGCTGGACACTGAGAACACTTCTTTGTACTTGACATAGACTTACCACCATTCTGGCAAGTTTTCAAATAATCCAAAAAATCAGTTTTTTAAAGTAAAGCTTCAAATTTATTAACTGACGTTTTCAAAACCGGCATCAAAAATATGGCAGAGAAGTCCTAACAATCAGGGCTTTGCCCGGACCTACTTAACAATCCCCCACGATCAATCAGAATGCAGCAAATTTAAAATGCCCAATAGTAATTTAGTGAATTTTTGACCAATCAAAATGCAGCTAAATTAAAATGCTAACTAGTTTTTCGACGGTTTTTGTCGGTTTTTCGACCAATCAGATTGCAGCAAAATTAAAATGCTCAAAAGAATGCTCTAGCCGTCATTTTGAGTTTGTCGGTTTTTCGACCAATCAGATTGCAGCAAAATTAAAATGCTCAAAAGAATGCTCTAGCCGTAATTTTGAGTTTTTATTCAGATTGATGGAAGCTCTTTAGTAAATGCCATGAGGGACAGGGGTTGTTAACTAGATCCCAGCTTTGTTTCCGATTTTGTGAAAGACAAAAAAGACATACTCTAGTGAAAGACAAAAATTTCCAAGATTTGAGGATTGATGTGGAATGATGAACTCCAGAGACTGCCAAGGTGACGGTGTTGATCCCTCAGTTGACAATCCTAAAAACACGCCCCTCTTACAACGTCTTTTAAAACTTGTAGCAAATTTCTCCTATATTACAATTTTCCTCAAAATTTTGACACCATTTGTTGGCATAAAATGCTTTAAAACAATTTTTTATGAGGCTAGCAAATCATGCGGCTTTTTTATAAGCAGATTTTGCCACATGAAAACCTAAATTTGTAAAATAATTAGCCTCAAGATTTCTAATAAGCCCAGCAAAATCAACTTAATTCTTAGAAGTCTGAAAAGAAAAGTTAGTTGGGTGAAACAACGTTTTTGTTCGATAAATTGGTTCTACTTAACAATTTACCCCTTTTCAGCGGGGTGGGGGGTTTAAAGTAGATGAAGTTAGTCGAATTTTTGACCAATCAGAATGCAGCAAAATTAGAATTCTCAATACAAATCTCTAGCTTTTCCCCTGTTCGGAAAAGCACACTATCAAAGTGAGCAAAATTCAGTGAGCAAATCTTAAAATAGCGAGCGAGTCAGTTGCATTCTTTTGCATGAGCCTGCTAATCGACACACATTCTAATAAGCCGGTCCCTGTAATATGTAATTTTTGACCTGTTCAAGAATTTTACTAACTTTTTCTTGTGTGGGCAAAGTCGCTGTCTTGAAATTGATTTGATTATTTGACAAAAAACCACATAATCAGTAATTTTGGCTAGTATTTTATCTCCTCTATCTCCTATTTGCTTTTTATAGGGTTGATTACAATTTGCAGTTTTTTTTTGTGCCATGTGCACAGATTTGAGCATTCACAAATGCAAAAGACTGAAATTTGCCAATATTTTGCGTTAGTACACTCGGTTTTTTCTTATTCCGTCCAAATTTTTAACATTGGATTTTTTATTAATCATTGTATTAATGCCAAGAACAAAACTCTGATAGTGCGAGCACCATAGCACTGGTTGGTTTTGTTAAAAGAAATGCAGTTAATTTATTTTTTAACCAATTCCCAACAAGGTCAAATTTTGATTTTTTGCTCGTTTTTTCCTGGAGCTGTTTTCTGTTTTTTTTCTGGTCTGGGTAAAACACAGCAGCATATTTGAAATAGATTTGAGTACTTTAACAAAAGTTTTAATTTTTTGGTCATTTCGGCTTATTTTTAGGTGGACTTAAAATTCAAAACAAAAAATTTTGAGAAAATGCTGAAATTTGGTTAGCTAATTCTAGCCAATCGGTTTCAAGCCAAACACTTTTTGTTCAAGAGTTTAAATTTTTAGGTGGATTAACGAAAAAGACCCCTGAACTCCGCACTAGTCGAGCTTTTTGCATCTAACTATTTGAATTTTTGGATCTCCTTACCCACAAATGATATACCGTGGAATGACTTCCCCGAGCGTGTGTTGATTCTGGATTTGACTTCTATATAAAATATGTGCTCCAAACGCGCTGCAAAACGTCATTTTTGTGAAATTTTTACATTTTTTTTTGATTGGTTACATAATTATTTAAATCGGCGTTTCATTTGTGTCGATAATTAAACCTATTATGTAGTTAATAAGGCGTTCTATTCAAAGTTATTTTGTGAAATTTGTTTTTCTCCCCCTTGAACCAAATTGGGGAAGATTTTACGGATGAAACGAATTCTTTAAGATGCCAATAGAAAAACATTGAAATTTTTTGTGGATCAATTTTGTAGCTCACAATTTTTCTTACATAAAAAATTTATATAGAAAAAGAACAGAATATTATAGGGAATTTCAAGTGCTAACAGAACCAGGATGGGTTATATGAGTATTTTCAACTGAAAATGGAATTTTAAAAGGTATAATCCTAGTTCCCTCTTGTGAATTCAATCAAACTAATATTACCTGAATATTGAAATGACGGCGGTGAAGTGAATTTTTCTTTCAAATTTGAAACAATTTACTCGACTAAATTTAATCGTTTGGTAGTTTTCTAAGTTTTATTTTTCCAACTCAACGTACGTCAACCACGAATTAATTTCAGGCAACGGATACATCAAAACACAATTTTGTGCTTACAATTGAAACTAAGATTGGCGTTGAAATGAAGTTAATCTCATTTTCAAAAACCAACAACACAAATATTCTCGGCACCTGAAATATTGGAACTGTTCAGTCAAGAAATAATGGTTCTTGCATATTGGCTAGAATCTGTACAAAAAATCACAAAAGCCAAATTTACAGCTTCAACAGTAAAACTCAGGGTTTCAAAGATTCTTTAAATTTCCTAACAACCGGCGTTTAAATCGTCAATAATTGTATATTTTTTAAAATCCCAGATCTTTTTCGTGAGATAAAACTAAACAATGATGCCTGTATATTGAAATGACGGCGGTGTGAGATAATAGTGTTGTGTTTTAGTTTAAAATGGTTTCCATCACCAAGCTTTCATCGTATGAACTTTTTTTTTCAAACAACCACAAAAGCATTGCAGAGAACAGATACATGGAACAACACTTTGTGCTCACAATTGAAACTAAGATTGGCAATTTTTTTAATTTAGACTCATTTAAAAACCAACATCACAAACATTCGTTTCACATAAAATCTTTGGAATTTAATTAGTCAACGGTTCTTGCAAATTTGCTAGAGTCTCTACAAAAAAATTTTTTACAGCTTAAGCAACAAGTTTTAGGGTTCCAAAATTTCCTTACATTGTAAATTCAAGATAAAAATATTCTATTTTCCTGAAACGCACGTTTATGCATGTCTCAGGTCTTCCCCCAAAAAATTTTGAGAAAAAATTAATTCATAAATTAATTGATGTTTTGCAGGCAACATATACATCAAACATCACTTTGTTCTTAAAATTGAAACTAAGATTGGCGCTGCAGTGGAGTGAACTCAACTTTAAATACCAACATCACAAACATTCGCCTCACAAAAAAATCTTGGGAATTGTTTAGTCAAGGATTAACGGTTCTTACAAATTTGCTAAAGTCTGTACAAAAAAGTTACAAAAACCAAATTTACTTCCTCAACAACAAGTTTTGGGGTTTCGAAAAAATTCTTTTAGTTGTATATGAAAGGAAAATATATTACATGTTAATAACGTTTCAAATTCTTTTGACTGTAAGTTAGAAAACTTGCTTATAGAAAAAAGTTTTTAATCGTTTTCTGATATTCAATCAGCAAAAAACAACAGTAACAGCCAATGATAAATACGCTTCGTCTGGTTGAGGCGATCAGAAGCAGGCCTCCATTCTTAAAAACAACCTAGTTAACATCTAGTCGATTTATATGAATTTTTACCTAATGTTGTAAGCCTTTTTTTGCTGCTTTTGAAAAAATATATTACGCATTTTTTCGAGTTATAAAATTATGATTTCTATTAAGTTTAATAAAATTATGAGTATGATAATTATTCTTCCAGGGACATATTTAGGGGGTACCGGGAGCGGAAGCTCTCGTTTTCAAGGATTCGACCCCCTGCCAACCCTAAGGGTCCCCTTTGATACTCTTTTAAGACATTCAATTTTGGCTGACCAGCCCTAAACTTTTCTGAAGGCACCTTTGGCGCTATTATATAACAAATTTGAGGTAGAGTGCTCGCGGAAGAAAAAAGATTTTTCAAAAAATCAAAACTTTTCAAAGAAATGCTTAGAAAATGCCTTTTCCTGCCATTTTTTTTCTTAACTTCGCTTGCGGCGCCGAAAATGCGGTCAAAGTATGGATTTTATAGGGATAGTAAGCGTGATATACATGAACATGTATACATATATGACATTCTTGAAAAAATTTTACTTAACAAAACGTTACTTACGTTTAGAGCTGTTTTTACTATATCCATTAATCATATAAACATTTCTCAGCAAACGAGGGCATAGAAAATACACATCGGGTTTACCCAATAATGATTCATAAACAGGCGCCGATTTACGATTTTTTTCGAGGCGACAGTTTTTCAAAAAACTTTTAGATTGACCGAATTGACATTCCGAGCTCTCCCAAAAAGCTATTAAGATCTTTATTCTATTTTGAGAAATCTTATTGCACCAAAAAATTGCGTTTGTATTTTTGACCGAAAGACTGAGTTTGTTCGGTGAGAGCTCCCCCCTCAAAATGAATATTTATATGGCACTAAAGGCTCTTTTAGAAAAATTTTAGGGTCGGTCATCAACAAACGGATATCTTAATAGCAACAAAGGGGGGCTGACTTTTTGGGTGGCCAGGGGGTCGAATTCCTAAAAGAAAACATAAGACCCCCGCGCCCCGTTAAATCCCTTGCTGGTTACTGATAGTACCAAAGGGGGACCGTTTGCATGTCGAGGAGATCGAATCCATGAAAAAGTGGGTGGGGCTATTTGATAGCAACACTGTGTGATTTTATAAAATACCTGCTGCTTTAATAATAATAAATAATAATTGTGGTTTCTGCGATTCGAGAAACAAATTATACTTAGACAGGCTGGATGTGAAAGCATATTCCGTTTCTTTTATTGCTTCTGTTTTCTTTTAGAATACTTAAGTTACTTCTTAGTTTGTTTACAAAAAATAAGAGCCCTTATAAATCTTCACTCAGTTCTATTCGCACAACCCCACTTTCATGAAACAAGTTGACCGGCAAAAATATATAAGCATTCGTTAGTCACAATTAATCAAACTTTACAAAAGTTAAGTCAGCGAGCCGGATGTCAGCTAACAGTTTAAAGGATAACAATCCAATTTCTTCTTAATAGCGGATCATGTGGGTTTGAGGGGGTTGTGAGATTAAAGTGGAGAAAACCCAGGTTTTTTTGGTTATAACCCCCTCAAATGATAAAAAAGGAAATTCAAAATATTTCTTACAAACTTGGATCCAAAAACGATGCAAAACACGAGGGTGGTATCTGAGTCTTGTCTTGATCAAACTCGGAAAAAAAAATGGGAGTTAAAAGGCAATTGAGAACGCATTTGACTAAGATTTGTGAAATCTAGGTGAAGAAGATGGCTGAAAATCAGGGTAAAAAGACCTGTTTGATGCTCAATAGATGAAAATATTTCGTTTTTGCCTGAGTTATATTGATAGCCCAGCATTTCTTAGTAAAATCGACCCAGTTTTCTAATAAAGTTATTCATTCCCGTACCCAGGGGATTTTCTGAGCAAGATCTGAAATTTTTATTTCTTACATAAGTTGATTCTCAGAACTGAAGTTCTTTATTTCAGATCTTGATAAGAATTTACAAAATTCAGATCTGAAATTTGGATCTGAAATAGAAATTTTCAGATCTGAAATGTCCTTGAAAAACAAAATTTCAGATCTGAAATTAGATCTGAGAAACCTTTTTAAATTATAATGTATGCATTTTGAGCAAACAGATAAGTTTTTAGTTTTGGATGTTTCTGCAATACACAATTATGTTAAGAGTAACTTATAGTAAAAAACTTCCCAATAAATTCACAAAAAGTTTTTTTTCGAACTAAATTTTTTGTTCAACGGTGTGAAAAATCTTGACAGGTGTTCTTACAGTTTTCAAAAACTGTAAGAACAACTGTCAAATTTTTGTTTTTCATACGCTACTCATGCGTTTCCAGTGTGAATCTCATTCTTGGGGAAACACTCTCATTTGCAACTTTACTGACCACCTGCTAGTAGCTAGCAAAAGAGATCAAACACAAAAGTATCAAGAATAGCTTTAATTGTGTCAGAATCATTGAATTTTTAGAGCTAAAACAACCAAGAAAAACTAATTTTCAGACCTGCAGTTAGATCTCAAATAACCCATTTGTAAAGTATCTAAGCGTTATTTTAACATTTCACAACCTATTTCACATCTGAAATTTAGATCTGAAACAGATTATTTCAGATCTGAATTAGAACATTTTCTAGGTACGGTTTTCAACTTTTCATAACTTAGGGGGGTCTAACCGACAAGATCCCAAAACCCGAACTTTCTCACCAAAGCCTTCTCGATAATTCGTTGAAAAATTAACTTTCAAGTCTTACCATTGAATATAAAAGTAACATAAGCCACGAATAAAAAGCACATAGCAAAGGAATAGGCGCTCTTTTATATTGTTCAAATTTGCAGCCCGTTGAATAAATATAAATTTCAGTGGCAATGTAAAACGTGGGTTTATAGACTCCGTTTATAATTTTATGACCTTTATACTTCATACGAAGGCCACTCAAATTGCATTGAAATTACTGAAGTTTGCTTTCAATTTCGTAAATGGTCGGTTAAAATTCTGCCCATACTTGAATTTGAAAAGTAGAAGGAAGGTCCAAAATCATAATAATCTTCAAGTTTCTTTGATCTTCAGACTTAAGACAATTATATTTAAAGAGAGAAAGAAACATTGTTCAAAACAATCGATAATTACTGCATCAATTGGAGTTTTTATCTTTTTTTAATTTCAAGTTCTCTAATTTCTTTCAAAAATGTTTAAAAAAAGCATTTCAAGACTTTGGTTGCATGTTCAAACTCTCAAATCATTTTAATTATCAATTTTAGTTTACAATGGCAGTAAAATTTTCAGCTTCAACAAAAATAAGTGAAAAATCACTTCAGAAACTTTTTTCACCGGCACTGAAAAAAACGAAAGTTAATATAAAAAGAAGTCCGTTTTTATGGAAATTATATACAGTCTACAAATCTATTGTGCATAACCCTTGTTTTAAAAAATGATTTAGAACGAGCTTCAGCGGTTTTTTATTATCGAAAAAAATGGATCATATTGCCCAACATTACTAAAAACATAATACCTTCAAAAGAAAGATATAATACATTAAGGTTTTCTTAATGGTTTGTGTAATTAAAATAGCTTCTACATTAACTGCACGGTACGTTGTCTTTGAGATACTTATTTTTTGGACATAATTTGTGCGCAATTTAATTTCATAACAATTTTGATTGTAAGTTTGCACAATTTTATGAGTACCTCGGGCAATGAAGTCTTTTTCGTCTAATATTACTACTCTAAGCTAATTCTTGTTGAGAATTCTTGTAATTCTGTTTTTTTTTTAATTTTTCGAACAGAAGTTTTGGACTGGAAACTGGAACTTAGTTTTTGTTCCGACCAATTGAAAAATGTGGAGGAACTTTGTATTCGAGAGAGTTTTAATTTCTTTTCCACGAAAAACCAGGTACGACAAATAATCGCAGAAGGTCGAGTGATATGTCATAATAAAGCCCTTTCAGTCGTAATTGGAACGTCTTTAGCAAATTTCTATCAAATTTTCTGTCGAGAAAAACCGGTTTGAAATTGTTGATTTTTGGTCTAATTTTGAGCCAATAAGGTGAGCGTGCAGGCTTTAAATAGCTTAAAACTTTATTTCTTCCGATTAAAGTTAGTTTTTGGACTTTTTTGCCATTTTGGAAAATTCAAAGTTTTAGACATTCAAAAAAATTAGTTTTGTTCAATTACATTTTTTTTGTTCTTCTAGCCTTTTTTCTACACAAAACTGGTTTCCAAATAGCTCATTAGACTAAAAATCTCGGTGCATATACAAAACAGTCCCATACAAAACAGTCCCATACAAAAGAGTCCGAAACATCAAAAAAAGGTTCTAAAAAACAGTCCCATACAAAACAGTCCAAAACCAGTTGAATTTCATGACCTTGATCTTTTGGCGCCGACAGAATTGATCTACGCTTTGAAAACTCAAACAGGGGCAATTAAAGATCAAAGAGCCAAATTTGGAACAATAATTTGGATGAAAATCAAAGGACTCATGGTATAGTGGTTAAAGCGTTAGTCTCAAACTCTAGAGATCAAAGGATCGAATCTCCGGCGGCACAAAAAATTTTCCAATTTTCCGAAAAAAATTGAAATTCGGGTAAATATGATAACGGGTATATCTAGGGTACAACAAAGGGTTCAACCTTAGAGGGTTGGGCGGAGGGAAAAGGAAAAAAATCAACACCTTGTATGTATTCATTATTTTGCCGGTTTCAAATCGACTCTAGCTCAATTTTGAAAAATCAAGGAAATTAATTAACTTGGAAAAATTTTATTGCTTGGCAATATTGATTAAATGTGAAAATTAAAAAGAAAAGAAAAATCTGATTATAATTTAATATTATAACAGCATCTTTTCAAAAACCCAATGATATCGTTGGGTTGATATGACTTAATCATAGTGATTAAGTTTTTGTCGAGTTTTTGGTATTTAGCTTTTTTGGGTCTGGCTACTTTTTGTCCTGCGCACATTTTTTCCAACAGTATTTCCGCGTTTTTTTGCTCGTCCTGGAACTTCTCGATCAGTTTTGGGAATGATGGATGCTTACTATTGACCAGTTTCACGAAGTTGCTGTTCCAACCTTCTACAGCGTTGTTGAATTTCGTTTCTATTGAGTGTTGTCAAGTGTTTGCAAATGAAACAGATTGAACAACCTGTCTCTTTTTGCTTAGATTAAAAAAAGAGTCCACTTTCTTAAATTGCGTTAACTTTAATGTTTCGAAGATTATTGCTCTTATTGAGTGGCAGCTGCTGTTATCTAGGTTATTCTAATTTCTCTACTATACTACCTATTTTTATCCGGATTAGTTGGTATCAAAATGTGTTTAATATGAGATAAATTTACTTATCAGCTTCTAGAACAATTATCACTTCGATCAATGGGACTGTTTTTTGGACTGTTTTTTGGACTATTTTTGGGACTGTTTTGTATGGGACTGTTTTTTTGTACTTTGCTATGTTTTTTCGGACTGTTTTGTATTGGACTGTTTTGTATGGGACTGTTTTGTACAGACACGAAAATCTCGTATTTGCATTTTTTCTGTTTTTTTATTACACCTTACAGGATTGACACTAATTCGAAAAAAAAATTTTTGCCAGGCGTAAATATTTTGCATTTAGTTCTCATCATGAAACGATCAGCGAAGAATAGAACGATCAGTTTACTTAGACTCGTTCAGTCTCCCCAAAGATTGACCCAGTCAGGTTATCATAATGCAATGCGCGCACGTTAGGGACCACCTTGAATTGGAACCGAGCAACCAATTGATCCTATTTTCGAGAAAAAATGCAATAATTCTTGCAAAGCAACGTTGCTTTTCCATAAAAACCGATTTCTAGTTTACTCAAGATAATTTTCAACGTGAAGTACAATGATCTTACTAATTTCACGTTTTTCCAAAGTTTCTGATGCGTTTTGAAGTTACCGTTGAAAAAAAATTTAGATTCAGCATCATCTTTTGTTAGTGTAACCATTTACCGTATAATATGAATATATATATTTTTTAACAATAAGTTGAAAAATTAGTTCTTGGCTCTGTAAACGATTCCACGCACTTGGATATTTGCTTGTAAAGTTCTTTTAACAGTAAAAGAAACATGACTTAATGACTTTTGTTCAAAAAATTTTCACATAGTTTTTATAATTCGATTTCAAGAGAAACTTAAATTAAGCTTTCTAACAACAAAAAGAGATTGTATGAATCGATTAGTATTCGCAGATCAGTCGAATCATTTCTGGTTTGCTGTCCCGATTATTTTAACTGGTCTTTTGATGTTGAAGCAGCACTATCGAGTCCAGAAAAATATTCAGAAAAAAATTTTTTTGCAAAAAATTTCAGATTAAGTTTTACCATATTCCTAAATTATACTGTCAAAACCTTCAAAACCACTAGATTTTAATTAATCTAGTTATAAGTTTTCCAGTGAGCGCAATTTAAGAAAATTATTTTTAGTTACTATTCAATTAAAGTAGCCGGTGAGTTCGCTTTGCGCGCATCAACGATTTGCAGTGCAACTCGACAATAAATTTTATAAAGATTCCTACCCACTGTTGCCAACAGTAAGTAGAGCTCTTTCCAAAACTTTAGGTCAAATTTCACTGCAAATCATTCCGTTTCAGTGGTCGCCATTAGGTTTTAAAGTAGGGATGTATACTTTGGGGTATTGTGAAATAGTAACCTACTATAGAATTATTAACAGACTTAAACTAAAATAAGAAGTTGAATTCAAAAGAAATGGATTGGTTAAATAAATTTAAGATGTTGATAACTGCAACCTTTCAGCCATCAAGAGAGAGTGGCTCAAATTTATTTTAGTACATTGTCAAGATTGGGAGACCTTCCCGATAATGACATCTAAGACTAGCAATTCACTTTTAAAAAAATCAAAATTCAACACAGACTAGCAACGATCAAAACAATTGGCTTGACAGCCGTCACTTTTCACCTCTGATGGAAATTTTTTAGATCAACATCATAAAGTTTCAACATCATAATAGTCAACGGGTCCCTTTAATTTTCTATGATTCCTGAATAAGTAAGCTCTGTTAGGGAGATGCAGTTAGTTCTTCCGCTGAAACTGGGATGGCACCGCTGTCTGGGGGAGTTCGATTGCTGCTGTTATCTCTTTTACTGCTTGCCTGACTGGAGTTCCATAAAAATGGGTCTGGCGTCTGTTCCGGCCTGAAGATCTGAAGAAAGAGTTTGACGCAACATCGTTTTTTTTTCTAGTGGGAACTTTGTCGGCCTAGACTCTGGGGTCAGAGCCGTGATAGAAAGACCAGAAAATGTGACTGGGCATGACTGCGGTGTTCTTCTAGGGCCAATGATGAGATCATCCTCCCAAGAGACAGGTGCTAGTTCCGACGGATCGGGGATAGTGTATCGAGATGTATCGTTTTTTTCTTCTGCCGAGATCGTGACCTTCTTTGAACGGGTTAACTTGAACGTGACCTTCCTTGAACCTGTTGAACGGGTTAACATGACCGACGGGAATTTTATATATGTATCTATCGCAACGTTATTTTTTCTTTCTCCATAAGATAAAGGTCCTGCGCAATCCAATTGAAGTTCTGAACTGGGGGCTCTAAGACTAGGAACAAATTTTGCCGAATTGAAATTGCTCATCGGCTTAAAATTCTTAACAAATTTTGTGCACTGGGTACAGCTGCTGCAAATCATCACGATTTATCAGTGAATTTTGGGCCACGACACATACTGAGCCGCAACTATCATTGCCTCTTGTCCTGGGTATGAGCGGTGAATTCTTGAGAGATTTGCTTTCCGTAGATGCTTTGGATGGCATCCGTCAATATATGCAATTGAGTCCCAGAATGTGCGAATATATTGATTGATTCGGCGAAATTGCTCGCAAT